TGCCTTCTTCTTTCTTTCTCCCTCCAACTTCTCCTTCTCCTTCTCCCCCTCCGGAGAAGAAACACATTTCAATGACACGCCCACGCCCGGGCCTGTCAGCCCCTCGCCCTGTCAGAGCGCCCACGCTGCCCCCCCCCCCATCGCCTTCCCACATCCTCAGCACTCTTTTCATCCAAGTTCCTCTTTTGGAGACAGAGGGGAAGAAAGAAAGGGAACAACAGCTCCAGTCTGCAGGCGCCGGTGCTGCTTGTCATGGAGTGTCCCCTGTCCCCCTCATGGGGGGGGGGGGGGCGCGGGGGGGGGTGGGGGGGGCGCGGGGGGGGAGGGGGGGGCATTGCTCTGCCAAAAACAAAGACACAAACATCCAGAGTCCCACTGTCGCCGCCACCCAGAGTTTATGGGCTGTGAAATCATAGGATCCGGTCGCAGAGTCGCTTCTCTTCTGCCGAGTTTACCATCTTGTGCGTGTGTGCGTGTGTGCGTGTGTGTGTGTGTGTGTGTGTGTGTCTGTGTGTGTTTGCTCTGCAGAGTCTTACTCGCTGTCTGTTGGGTAAGTGTGGGTTGGTATGAGCGGCTTATGTCTGACTGAACACGTTGTGCGCCTGCGTGGGCGGGAGTGTGTATAGGGCGACGTGTGTGTGTGTGTGTGTGTGTGTGCCGTCTTTGCACACAGATTACAATGGTGTGGGCGTTTTTGGGCAGGATGTGTGTGGGTGTAGCGCCGTGGGCGGAGGTTATGTGACATACAGACAGAGACGGCAGTGTTCACTGTGGAACTCCCCGGCTGCCTGCACCTAAAGAACACCTCAAGGTAGTAGTACACAGTACTACGCGCTCAGAGTACTAATGCCTGTGTACTCGCGCTGGTACTCCGCTGAGGTCACTGCAGTTTGCCGTTTCACGGCTGCTGGCCCTTTAAGCGCTCTCAGCCCGAGGCCCCCTGCTGACAGGCCGTGGGTCGACCTGGAGGGGATTCGCCCGTTTTCTTATTTTCTGTTCAGCCACGTCGGGGCCTCGCCGACCCCTCGCCGCCCACGCCCCCCCCCCCCCCCCAAAAAGCCCGCTGACGTGTGAATCGTCTGCCCCCTCAAACGCCGTCAGAAAGAAAGGAGCTTGCCTCCGAAGGGCTCGACCTGGATCTCGACGCCTCATCGGGACGTCAAGTGCGTTCATCTAGCGCTCCCAAAGGTCAGGTGACACCGACATGATCCCAGGGGTGGGGGTGGGGGTGGAGGCAAAGGGGGGGGGGGCCAAGGGGGGCGGAGGAAAAACACAAATGCCCTCCCAAGGGAGGAGCTGGTAAAAATATAGAAAAATGTCCTCCACGCCTGTGAAACCAAATTTAAGACTTTTGAAATGGAGCCACACGTGTTGTGCCGATGATTGCTTGTTAAATTTTTGATCTGGAGCCAGCAGGCATGATAAACAACAGCAGCTTGGGATTAGCCCCCCCGAGCCCCCCGAGCCCCCCACTCACACGCCCACCTTGCCAGCATAAGTCCCTGACTCAATTAGGAAAAAAAACCTCTGCAACTTGGGACTCCTGGCGCACAAATACCCACAAGGCCGCCGCACACGGCCGAGAGACAACGAGAGACAATCAAACATCACGTCACCACGGAGCCTCCTGCTCGCCGCTCCGTCCTCTGGGGAGTCTGACAAAGAAAAACACATTCAAGGAATTAAACCCTCAACCCTGCAGGTGTAGAAACAAGCAGGTAGACCAGAGGAGGAGACGAGGAGGGAGAGACCAGGGGAGGAGACGAGAAGGGAGAGAAAAGGGGAGGAGACGAGAAGGGAGAGAACAGCGGAGGAGACGAGAAGGGAGAGACCAGAGGAGGAGACGAGGAGGGAGAGACCAGAGGAGGAGACGAGGAGGGAGAGACCAGGGGAGGAGACGAGAAGGGAGAGAAAAGGGGAGGAGACGAGAAGGGAGAGAACAGCGGAGGAGACGAGAAGGGAGGGACCAGAGGAGGAGATGAGAAGGGAGAGACCAGAGGAGGAGACGAGGAGGGAGAGACCAGAGTGGAGGAGACGAGGAGGGAGAGACCAGGGGAGGAGACGAGAGGGAGAGAAAGGGGAGGAGACGAGAAGTGAGAGAACAGCGGAGGAGACGAGAAGGGAGGGACCAGAGGAGGAGGAAGGAGGAGACGAGAAGGGAGAGACCAGGGAGGAGACGAGAAGGGGAGGAGAACAGAGGATGAGGAGAAGGTAGGGACCAGAGGAGGAGAACAGAGGAGGAGGAGGAGAAGAACAACAGAGGAACAGCTGCTGATGAACCAAGTCCTCCAAAAGAATCAAAACGTTACCGCGGCAAAGACGCAGACAGATCAACGGTCACTAATACTTGACTGACTGTGAATTTCAGGATTCCTGTTCCAAAGCGACGTCGATTGACGGATCGATCGACTCCATTCAAAGAGCAACCGTGTGATGGCCACTGACATCATCATTGGTTGCGTTAGGCCCCGCCTCCAGCAGGAAGTAGACACTGCGAGGGCTCTAAGAGGGCGTCGGCTGAAAGCCTCCAGGTGTCCAGCTCTCCTGTTGTGTCGGGGCCCAAAGGCTGATGGGGGCCGTGGGAGGGCCAAACGGGGCCCGAGGGGGCCCGAGGGGACCCAAGGGGACCCAAGGGGACCGGCCTGCTGGCGCCCACGAGACGCCTGGCTGGGTGGGCGTCATCTATGGAGCCATTGATCCACAAGACGCAGTCTCCCTGTTGTTCTGCTCCAGGAGCAACAGTCCCTGCAACATTACTACTAGGAACCGCCGTGGTACTACTACTACTAGTACTACACTATTTAAGAGTACTCAACATCACCAGTTTGGGGTTTGAAACTTATTTATTTCATTTCATTTCGGAGTAGAACGATGTTCTTTTCCCCAGAAAACAAAGGAACGTCTCCAGAAAAGCAGCTTTTTTTCATCTCAGATCACAGAGGCGTCATTATGAGTCAAAAACACGAATGTGTGAATAACGAACTAATCCTCCGTCCCTCTGCAGCAGGTGTCACTGCACCTGGGAAGATGAGATTTGAGCGTAATCAGCGACTCTTCACTCTGCATCTCACAGTAATTATCCTCACGATCCATCAACATCCACGGCACAGCCGCTCTCTGATCACCGACATGTGAGACGTCCGTTGTTAGAGACGCACACTGCGGCGCTCTCTGCACATGAATGAATGATGTTTGTGTTCCTCCCTCGCTCGTAACAACAATAACAACAACAAAAACACCAGCAAACTCACATCATTTTTTTTTCTTTTTTCTAAAATCACATTTGGCTGTTTGAAAAGATTCCGGCAAAAAAATGTGGAAGTCGCCTCCCATTGTGACCGGTGGATGAAAACATGTTAATTTCCTGCGTTGGTAATGATGCGTGTCGTTTCCAAATGTGATTACACAAACAGAATGCTGTGTAACACGCCTGTAACACGCTTAAGATGTTTTAAAATACATTAGCATGAATTCACACTGCGGAACGAGAAAGACCCCTGAAGGAAACCTCAGAGGTTCCTTCAGATTAAAACTACAGAGGCACCCGCGACGGCTCCCTGAGGAACCCCGAGGTTCTCCACACGGTAGACGGCCCAATTAAAACCCTTTGATTACCTCAGAACCCATCAGAGCTGCAGACGCCGGCTACGCACACCGGGACTGAAGTCCTCCATCGATATATAGATATAAATGCCTGTAGCAAGATGGCCGCCACGTGCGGACGTTCTGGACTCCGCCGTAAGACGTCTGGCCGTCATACTATGGCGTCCTCCCTCTGCGGCGTGGGCGCGGCCCAGCGTGGTGATGGCGGTGCGGCCGTGACAACCGGCGTGTGATGACCGGGTCTGACCCTTGACCTCTCCACCGTGGGCTCAGTCACACCTCACGGTTAAGTCGCTTAGCTCGCCGGTGTCCGGATCGGCGGTTCCATCGCCGCCGATGAGGCTCATCCTCGTTTTAGCGTTTAAATCTGTACAGCGTGTTGAACGATTTCTGCACCGTAATTCTGTTCATGAGGTTTGAAAGCTCCACCCACAGCTCCACAGGCTGTGGGTCCCAACATAGGGGTCTGGACCCATTCTAAGGCCCGCTAGATAAATAGATAGGTGATTAAAGAATGAAATAAAAGGATTTAGACCAATGATACGATCTTTTAAGGCAAAAGATCGTATCATTGGTCCGCGACGCCCGTCAAGGGGCTTCTGGGAGATCTGAACCTCTCGCCAGCCTCTGACCTCTGACCTCTGACCAGAGAGTCCGGGGAGCAGCCGCCATCGGCCCGATTCCTCCTCGGGGCGTCTGCCTCGCCTCTGCACCAAGAGGGGAGGGAAGATACGAACAGCTGCAGGTCGTATCTGGGCAGCGGCCGAGCGGGGAACACGGACGTGGGCGCGTCAGGCCGAGCTGAAGGAAACGGGACGGCACCCGGACGGTTCCACCAGACGCCAGCGTCAGATTGGAGTCATTTCAGCGTAGAAGAAGGTCCAAGGAAAAGAACCACGGGACAGAAGAAGAAGCGAGTCATGAGAAATGTTCATCAAAAACGCAATTTGCGTAAAACGCTGATTTGATCAGAAAAAGACACCTGATGTGTGTGATTTCAGACACGTGCCCCTCCCCCCCTCTCGCTCCCCTCTCCCCCCCTCTCCCCTGCGTGTCCCTTCACTTAACGCCGCGCAGAAGCTTCCAGTCGCCCATGAAGACGACACACCGGCAGAGAGGAAGGTCTCGTTATCGTCCTCCCCCACGCAGCACGGCCTGGACAACCCTGCACGCACACGCACACGCACACACACACAGGGACACGCACACGCACACGCACACGCACAGGCTGGTCTGGACCAACACGCCTCTGCTGCCACCCAGTGGCTGGTCCTCGCGTTCTGTACTTTGCTTACAGGACAAACGTTTACACAACGCAGCATTCAAGATGTAACTTTATTTATTAGTAAAAAGACTTAGAAGTAAGATGCGTCCGGTTGGAAATAATAACGTGAATAAAATGAGTAAAAGTAAATGATGCTCCTTTACTTCTACACGTCTCACCCTGTGTGTCCTCGCGAGGACGGTAAACGCACCGCACATTAAAGCAATTTGTGTGAGAAAAATAAGAACACTGATGGAATTAAGGGACAACGAACAAACACCCTTTAATTGTTTAATTGGCAGGAAAGCAAACAACAGACTCTCTGCGGCCTTTTTCCCTCCAGACAAACGATAAACACAGAATACTGGTTATTATTTGGCATGAAAGTAGAAAACAAAGACAGTAATTAGAGCGTGTCGGCTGCTGGCAGCTTCCACCAGGAAACACTGCACGCAGACGTCTCACATTAATAATAATGATTTAGTATTTAAGGGTGAATAAATCTGACGCAAATCCAACATTGACTAATATTTAGAAAATACTTCTAAAGTATTTCAACGATTACTCCAAAAAGGCACAGAAGGTTTTCTGTAAAAGAAAAGGCTGCGTAATAAATAAATGAAATGATTCAGTTTATAGAAAGTCAGGTTTTAAGGAGCTGGATTAAAGGTTTGTTTTAAATATTTCCCTTATGAAGCGCTTCTCTCCACTTTTTAAAGTAAATTAAGTTATTAAATAACTTTGACGGACGTTCCTTCACACCCTAAATACAGCGGTGCGTTTGATTCGAGCACCTCTAAGAGGCGAAGGCTCGAAACGTACACCCCCGCCCCGCCCCGCCCCCCTCTGCAGAAAACAACCCGAGTCTTCAAACTTCTGAGTATTTCAGACTTTTGGTTCCTCACACCAAAGTGCTCGTTCCACGTCCCCGTCAGGAGTCCGTGGCGTTCGGTGGCGTGGGCGTTTCCGCGCCGTCGTCACTCGGGTTTCCGCGCGTCGCCTCGTCCGCGGCCTGCGGCTCCTCGTTGGGCGCCTAGCAACAAGAGGAGCACAAACAGTGATGGGAGGGGCCGGCTGGGAGTCATTGACGTGGGTGGGCGTGGTCGGCCCGTGACATCACCCCCGGACGCAACTATGGGCGGGCGTGGTGCCACGCCGCGGCTCGCTAACACGTCGGCATGCACGAACGCGCCCACACACACACGTGCTGATGAGTCACTGCGCACACACACACACACACACACACACACAAGTAGTTTTCCATTGACCTTTGTATGCAAAAACATCTCACCTGTCTTCAGAGTGCGTGTTTATGTGGGAGGGAGGGAAGGAGGGGGGAGGGGTCAGAAAGAGTGTGTGTGGGGCGAGGGGGGCGGGGGGGGGGCGCAGAAAGTTCAAGTCAATGAACAGATAAAAAGTTGAAATCAATCACCTCGAAGTAGGATGACCAGCAGAGGAATACTCGATGCAGGGCCTCTACGTGTAGTATTTGTACTTCATGTACCTCGTCTCTGCTACCTGGCTCACCTGCAGCGATTGCGTCTCCGAGGGCGGAGCTTCTTTCTTCTTGGCGTTCATCATCTCTCTGATCTGGACGATGGCGAAGGCGATGGTGACCCAGGGGGCGCCGGAGAGCATCCAGGCCGGCTTGTTCAGGTCCTCCTGCTCCTCCTGGTGCTTGGTCTTCTTGACGGGCAGCGCGGCGGCCTTGCGGAGGGGGGCGGGGCTCCCGGCGGCGGACTGGTTCTGCACCAGGTGGATGGTGGCGATGGGAACCGGGCTGGAGGGAACCGGGATGTTCTCTGCCAGCATTTGGTCCTCTGAGGGAAAACAACTCTCAACTCGTAAACACAACTGAACCAGTTCCTCTTAACGAAGCCAACACCGATCAAAGGGTCACCTTTGCCCTCGGCGTCTCCAGTCAGACACTGGATGAGGGCGAAGACCAGGAGGATGACGAGGGAGGCCATGCCGATCCCTCTGAACGCCGCCGCCGCGCCTAAAGACGCAAAAAAGGAACTTTCTTTGCAGAGATTCTGCATTTCTGTTAAACAGCCTCCCCAGATCGCTCTTTGGATGATGTAGTAGTGCGTAGTATCCCCCCCCCGGGTCGTACCAAAGTAGTTGACGAACACCCCCCCCACCATGGCGCCACAGCCCCGGCCCAGGCCCAGGTGGAGGCCCTGCAGGATGCCCTGCGCCGACGTCCTGAGGGCCGGCGGCACCGCCGCGCTCAGGAAGGAGATGCAGGCGGCCCAAACCGAGGCGTGCGTCACACCTGGAGGACACACAGGGGACAGATGTGGGGACACAGCTGGGGGCACTGGGAGATCACCTGCTGCCCGTGGGAAGGTGTGAGATCTGCAGTGTGGAGAGACGTTAAACGTGCGTCTCTGGACCGACTCGAGGTTTCCGTCTCGGGGGGAACAGCTGAGAGTCAGTCGGTTTTGGCTCAAACTTCAGTGGTGAAAATCACACTTTATTCATCGGGTCACTGAAGCTGTGATCACAACACCGCGCAGAGGGAAACACTGGTACGATTATCACACGTCCTCAGCGCGCCTGAGTTTAGAAAGCACACATTTGTCTACTTGGATAAGACCAAGAAGGTAAAAATCCTTTTTATTCTTTATTAATAATTATGGTCACAATGTTAATAAAGACTAATGAACAAGTGAATCCCTCTCTTCCATTTGAGGCGATTTTATTATTATTTACTGCTCGTAACCTAATGGATGATGTGTTGTGTCACTGTTGTTTTAGCAGCTTCCTGCCTGAAGTCACATGACCAGCGCGCCGTCTTAAAGGGCCGGTCGCCGCTTATCGGGCGGCTGTAAACATGGAGGCCGCCGGGTTTCCACTTGTTTACTCAGGGCGAAGAACTCCAACAGAACACACAGAGCCTCCGAGCAGCTGCTGGCTTCCTCCCCTCGACTTTCCTCTCCAGCTACGAGCAGTCGTCCTGCAGACGTTTCATCATTGTGCTTGAAGTAGATGAAATCCAGCCGGTTCTAAGCTCGCTGCAGGTGAAGCAGCGCTGAGAGGAACCCGTTATTATAAATGTCTGTTCACAATGAAACAGGCCGCGGGGGGAAGGCGGCGTCCTGATAAGCGTTACCTTGGAGGACCTCCATGGGCAGCACGGTCCAGGCGTTCTTCAGGTAGGAGATGTACAGGTAGCGAGCCGTGTTGCAGGCCAGGCCGATGTACAGCACCCTGAGGGGGGGGGGAGAGACGGGGGTCCGGGTGTGAATATGATCACAACATAATAATAGAGCTGATGTTTAGCAGGAGTCTCAGCAGGACAAACAGACGCGTCCAACAGATGTCTCCGTGTTTGTACTGAGCACACAGGAAGCAGCTTCAGTGATACACGCGTCCTCCATTCACCCGCAACCTGCCGCCTGTGCAGAGGAACCTGATTGGATCTAGCTGCTTCTGTTCTAAAGCGACCCGCAGAACCTTCTATGTCTCATTGGGATGAATCATTGATCTAATGCAAGAGAAGATAGTGCGTAAACTATAAGAACGTAATGTAAACCAACTCTGTTCGGACGACGGTAAATTTCTGTCAGGGATGAAAACAGACAGCGGGGGGGGGGGGGGGGGGGGTTTAGAGCGTAACATTACTATGAAATGTGTTTAAATACATAATCTGCTGTACAACAAGTCAGCGTCTCTGCTGTTCACTCAAACAACTCAACGGTTGCAGAACAGAACGAATATGACACCAAGTGCTCAAATGTCGCCGAGGCCCGAAGCCCCCGAAACCCCCCCGGCATCAGCGCCAAGCACAAGACGTCCTGGTGAACTGAACCAGTGCTTCAAGCAACAATCAACCACGGAGGCAAATAAAGTCCCAACAGGAGAGGAAGTCAGCGATGGTTTACAGAGTAACTGTAACTTAACTGAATCACACTGTGATTAAGGTTTGTTTGTTTAAAAGAAGTTGAAGATGAATCAAAAGCATCCGAGCTTTTCTCGCTCAGAGGATTAAAAGCTCGTGTTAAGTGTCGGAAGTCTCACCTGACGTGTCCGACCAGCTCGATGAACTTGTGGCTGGAGAAGTAGGTGGCGAGCTCGGAGGCGTGGCCCAGGACGGAGCAGACGCCGAACAGCGTGGCGGTGCCGTGCAGGTCCTGCAGGTGCCAGTACAGGAAGGTGAAGACGAAGCCGTAGCCGAAGCCCATGAACCAGGCCACGAAGAGCACGGAGCTGTAGCGCACGCTGCACAGCAGCTTCAGCAGGTCGCCGTAGTGGAACTCGGGGGCCGCCTCGCCGGGGGTCAGCGCCGGGGGGGCGGACACGGGCGCCTGGGCGCCGGCATCCTCCGCCTCCTGCCGCCGGTCGCCGTCTTCTTCGAAGTGAAACTGCGTGGCCACGCCGAACGCCACCGCCATCAGCACGCCGAAGGCGATGAAGGCGATCTGGTAGTTGTGGAGGCGGAAGTCGGGCAACTCGCAGCCGAGGCCGCTGATCGCCACCGTGAAGTACGTGTGGTCGCTCCAGATGCCCACCAGCAGCATGGCCATGCCCCAGCCCAGCGAGCCCCACATCCGCTGCAGGCCGTAGCGGTCGCGGGCCTTCCCGAGGTTCTGCAGGGTGACGGTGTCCACGATGGTGAGGGTGGGGGCGCTGAAGAACTCGCTCACGATGATGACGAGCAGGATGAGCAGGAAGATGCTCTCCACCTGGTCCTTGTTGTAGATCACCTGGTACTCCTTGGTCGGAGCAGGGGAGGTTGCGCTCGTGGTGGTGAGCAGGGTGGCGTTCGGCGTGGGGAAGGTGGTGCCGGGTGGCGGGAGGGTGGTGTTAGCCGGCGGCGAGGTGGCGTTGGCGTCGGCGCTCCGCTCGTGCCTGAGGTGCACGCCGCTTGAGTACGAGTCCAGGGCCTCGGGAGCCAGAGGACGTCCAGAAGGCCCCGGCGTTTTCGGGCGTGGTCGGTGGAGTTGCTCAGCTGCGTGAAGTTATCGTGCGGGAGGCCGACGTCGGCGCGGGCGCCGCCCGTCGGCGCCTTTCTCCACGCACATCATCTGGGCCGGCTTCACGAAGAAGATGCCGCAGTTGAAGAACAGCCAGCACAGGAGGGAGAAGAGAAGGACGGCCTTGCCCTTCTTGAAGCGGTCGGCCACCACCCCCCAGAAGGGGCGCTGCAGAACTCGATGAAGTAGCGGATGCCGACCAGCAGCCCGCTGCGGCTGGCCGACATGCCCAGCTGCTTGTAGTACACGGCCAGCAGGGGGTGCAGCGAGCCGTAGGCGGCGTAGAAGAAGAAGTAGAAGACTTTGGAGACGAGGAGGCGGGTGTTGATGCGGAGGCACATCCTCTCGCAGCAGTCGACGGAGTCGGCCCGGGAGCCCGCCGGCTGCTCGGGCGGCGCGTCCGAGGGGAGCGGCGCCGCGGAGGAAGCGCCGGCCGGCTCCGCCAACACGTACTTCCTCTTCTGCTCCTCCTCGTCATCCGACAGGATGGCCACCTTGTCGTCGGCTGGCATATCTGGGAGATAAGGAAATGAGGGTGAGAGCAGCGGCTCGTAATGTGCTCCTGTGAACATAAGACATCAAGTGGGACGATAAAGAGCGATAAATAGCGCAGACGGCTGATTGAAGAGTGACGGTTTGGGGCAATAATACAAATGAAATGAGTACAAAGGATGGACAGATGTTGACATTTATAAATATAAATCCTATATAAACAAAAACATATCATTACCAGTGCTAATGCCACTGGTTAAACCTGATATCTAGAGTCGTGAAACATTTATCCAAATAAAGAGAAACCTTCTACACAAAGTGGAAATACTACGTGGCGGCAAAGGACCCTTTAGCGACCGCTCGGGGTCCCCGAACCCCAGCTTGGCACCCGTCAGCCGGGCGCTGCCTGTCACTGAGGATCACATGCGGAAGTGATTCTCCTCTTCAACAAACTGGCTCGTTTGAGCCGATAAACAAAACGAAATTGACCACATTTCAATTGAGAAAGTGACGCAAATGACCCGAAATGACGTCACTACTTTGAAGGAACGGAGAAATCGGTTACCGGCTGCAAATGACTTCATTCTTAGTCATTTAGCCGCGCGACACCTGAATTTAACTCTTAACAAACGTAAAAAGGCGGTGAGCGTTGAAGCAACACAAACACACAGCGCTCACCTGCTCAGGTCGCCGCTCCCATTAAACTACTGCGCACTTTGTGCTGAATACGTCTCTTCTTTGGCGGACATTTTCCCCGTAAAACGTCGTGTCTGATTGGCCGTAACGCGCTTGTGTGATTGTGTTGTTAAATGAAAGTGTTTCTCCGGCTCGGCTCTTTTCGCATTGTGTACAACGGCAGCTCGTCAAACCGGAGCTCGCACCTGTCCCATGATGGACTCATGGTTTCCGGCCAACGCTTTCAAAGTAAAACTCACCCCCACATTTTGCGGAATTTATGGAGCGAAGTTTAACGTTGTTTTAACCCAAAGCTCAGGGCTGTATTGATGACTCATCGGTATTTTGTAATTGTGTTGGCTAAGTGCACGTTCTGTTGGATTTCACGTGCCAATAGGTTTCATTCGTTATTGTTTTTATTTCAAGAAACAACGTGTTGCTTTTATTTTGTCAATATCCGGTCCCTTCTGCGCTGAATTCCGTGGCGTTGAGGAGCGACTCCACCCAATAATTTCCATTAAGGGGAAAACATCTGTAGTCCCCTGGTGACCCTAGGACTATAGTCATACTTTCAAAACTAGGTGCCTGCCTATAAAAAGAAAAAGTAAATGTTTATTTTACATTAAATACATAATAGGGGACACCTGATTTCTAAGTGGGGAGATGTTTATTTGTTGTGCATGGAGTAATGTTTGTCATAGTGATGAATACTAATGTTAAGTTCATGTTTAGTTAAATACTATCTCCAGAGGCTTTAGGCCGTTAGCCTTTTAGTACTTACTGTTTGTTACCGTATTATTGGTCAGTGGTGTATTCGCGCTGTATAGCCAATGGTGATTGGTTGGGAGAACAACGGGAAAGACACGTGACTGGAAAGTTCTGGAAGTTTTTGGGGGTTCGAGGAGGAGAGAAGAAGTCGTGAAGAGACGGGACGCCGGCGTTTTTGGGGAAGAGAAAAAGACGCTAGCAGGAGACAAGAAGGCAGAATAAACCGGCGCGGGAGGCTGGAAGGAGTGGACCGCGGACTCGGTGTGTTTGTGAGCCTGGAAACGGAGGAGAAACCAAAGCTGAAACCCCGTCGGACGGAGCGGGGAGAAGCAGCGGAGGTCGCCATCGAGGGAGCCGAGCTAGCTAGCCGCGGTGGGCGTGGCCGGGCGGAAGTGTCGGTGACTCGCATCGCGGACCCGAGTTTCCGCGCTCTCAATGTTTTCAAAGTGATTTCGGCGCTCTCAATGTTTGCCAGACCAAACAGGTCTGCAACGTGTTTTCTTTCCGTACATATCGTTGCCGTGAGTAACTGGAACATGTGTGGCTGTGTGTGGTGATTGGGCCCAACACCGCATCGGCTGATACTTGTTTCATGACACTTGGAGGGGAAAGTTTTTGTTGTTATTGTTGAACTCTGGTATTCTCCGAGTTGAGGAACGGGAACCTTTCGAACATATATTTTGATGTAACGTCCTTGATACTATTGGGTTTGTATCACTGAATTTGGAGTTTATTATTTATGTTTTGGGGAAGTTTTGGTTATTTATTTTTCTCTATTTGGTAATATTGGGTTTTGGGGGAAATTAATTATTGTAGTTAAATAAACAAGGGCGTTGCCCTATTTATTTTACTTTTGTTAAAAGAACATCCATCTCTGGGTCTCATTTATTTTTTAAATAGCTTCTTGCTAAAAGGTTTTACGATACATCGAACCCAAGCACCCCCCATTCTCACGTGAGTGACTCACAGAGTGGTGATACGGGTGCTACATAAAGATCACAGAGAAAACATTGAGTTTAATGAACAAGAGGCGGTGCACTGTAAAACAAAAGAGTAGAATACAAACAACAAAGGCCTGAACTCGCCACGATGCACCACAGATGGGTAGATATTTTTTATACTTTATATGGAATATTATGGAAATTGAAATATCAAAATATTGTTAAACTATTAAATGTCATGTTAATATCAGATCAACGTGTCTGTTTATCTGCAGTGGGCGCTGTAGACTTCCATGTCACATGTGGGAAAAGATTTATCTTAATAGTTTTAGTTTCAGTATTATGTTTTCCAAACATTGAAAAGACGCTGTATTTACACCACATCCATTCCTTTAAATTCCTCAAAGAAGACCATGTAGGAGCAGGACAGCAAAGAGTGGAGATCTAGTCGAGTGTTTTGCTCTCAGTGAGGAGGAACAAGCAGTTTATCACATGCAGAGCGGAGAGTGCGGGTCGGGATGTTGGTTTGGACCAGGTCCTGGATGTAAGCTGGACCCCATCCATTCACAGCATGGTACGTGAGCACCAGTGTTTAGAACTGGATGAGCCACCGGTACCAGTGAAGAGAGCGGAGGAGTGGAGGAGTGAGGGAGAACTTAGGAAGGTTAAAGACCAGTGGAGCTGCTGCATTCTGGATGAGCTGCAGAGGTGGAATGGTGGTAGCAGGAGACCTGCAGGAGAGAGTTACAGGAGTCCAGGAGGGAGATGACAAGAGCCTGAACCGGAGAGTCTTTTCCTGAAAAGAGAAGTAGTTCAGTCTGTCGGGGTTGATTTTCAGATGGTGGGCGGATCCACTGAGAGATGTCAGTCAGACGGGCAGCGATCCGAGGGAGGGAAGGAGAGAACTGGTTGGGTGTCATCGGCACAGCTGTTTGAAATGAAGCGTTCTTGTTGTGAAGCAGATGGGAAATCCGACAGAAATGAAACTGCGGGGTCTGAAATCTCTTTCCAGGAGAGCAGATTTTATTGGATTTAAGGAACGTGGCCTTGAAGTCAAAACGATTTTGTAGTTTAATCTTTCTGTAGCAAGTCACATGACTCAGTAGTCCGACTCATCCGACACGTCCCCCTGCTGCGTCCAGTGCCTCGTCGTCGTCGTCTTCTTCTTCCTCCTCTTCCTCTCGCCCACCAGCATGGCGGCCAGCAGGGTGATCACCACGGTGACGGTGATGATGAGCACGGTGACCGTCTCGGCGAGGCACAGCTCCGTGTCCACGTCGATCAGCCGGTGGTCCCCGAGCGGCGCCGGCGCCCGGCAGGTCAGGTTGCTGTAGTCGTCCAGGAAGAGCCTCTGGACGCCGCGCAGCTTCCGGAAGACTCGGTGCAGGTCGCAGTCGCAGGTCCACGGGTTCCCCTCCAGCAGGATGTGGGTGCTGTAAGCCTGGATGCCGAGGAACGTCTTGAAGCCGACGGTGGACATGCGGTTGTCGGCCAGGTCGAGGAGCGCCAGGCTGGTGAGCGGCTTGAAGGAGGCCGTGTCCGCGACGGCGATCTGGTTCCCGGAGAGGTCGAGCACCTCCAGGGAGCGCAGCATGGAGAACATGCCGCTCCGCAGGGACCTCAGCCGGTTGCCCCGCAGGTGGAGCTGCCGCAGGCCGCTCATGGAGGAGAAGGACCTCACCTGGATGGTGCGGATGGCGTTGCTGCTCAGGTTCAACCTCTGGAGGCGGTCCAGGTGCAGGAAGCTGCGGCTGTCCAGGCCGTCCAGGCGGTTGTGGGCGAGCTGCAGCTCGCGCAGGAAGGCCAAGCCGGCGGAGAACCCCGCGGTCAGCGCCGAGATCCGGTTCCAGCTCAGGTCCAGCTTCTGCAGGAACTCCATCTGCGAGAAGCCGCCGTCCTCCACGGCGCTGATGTTGTTGTTCTGCAGCAGCAGGAATCTGAGCTTGCGGGTTTTGCAGAAGGAGCCGCGGGGCACGACGGAGATGTGGTTGTCGGAGAGGTCGAGGAGCTCGGTGTTGGGGGGGACTCGGCCCGGCAGCCGGGTGAAGAGCGCCCGAGAGCAGATGGTGAACTTCAGATCTCCTCGACAGTCGCAGCCACGCTCGCACCAGCTGCTGTGGGACCCGGAGGTCGCCTCCGTCAGCACCGGCGGGGGGAGGAGGAGGAGGAGGAGGAGGAAGAGGAGCTCCATCACAGCTTTAAAGCCCTCTGGAAACCACACACACAATATCAGGCTTATGACTCATCAAAGTAAAGAGAACTACTGGTCACTTTGTTGATTAACCAAACCTCCAGAATCAAATCAAACTGACATCGAAGGAATAAAAACATGTCAGCGTTTAAGTACGTTGTTTTCTAATTAGTTTCAAAAGGGAGCAGAAGATAAATACTCCATTTTAACGGTAGAGGCGCTCCATCAGGGTGGAGGTGATGTCTCTGGTATTTTAAACCAGCACATAACGGTTCCAGGGTTCTTCTGCTGTGGAGAAGGTTCTGAACGTGCTTCTTGTTTAAAGAGATGATCAGACAGTTGTGGACGATGGAGGATCTCTTCTTACCTCCAGCTGCTGCTCCTGTTGCTCTCCAGCTGGAACCTGGACATGACGGAGGCGACGGAGGCTGTGACACCACAAAGAGGCTCGGGGAGGAGGGGCAGCTCGTCAATGATTCACTGGCGAGGCTTTAAGAGATTGAAGACAAACTGAGCCACAGAGCTGGAATTAGAAGGTCTGGATGATTAATTGCAGGCGGGTGGCTGTTTATCTCCAGATTTATTTATACATTTAATCACAGACCTTCAGTATTCTTTTGATTAAGAAGGTTTATAGAATCTATGTTATATAATTCTATTGTTTTTAGGTTTTACGACTTTATCAATGCCTTATTTTATTAATCATGATTTGTTAAATGTTATTGTTTGACTTTTTTTCATTACATTTACGTTGTTGAATTGTATTGACATTTTTTTAATAGTTTATTTCATTTGAATTATTATTTATGTTGTACAATGTCATTAATTTATTTCATTTCAAGTTATAAAATAGTATTTTATACTATTGTTGTATTATTAATGTTTTATTTTGCATTATTTTAATACAATTGCTGGTATTTTGTTTGCTGTTGGAAACATAATATTGATAATAATAATATAGAACATTTCTTGTATGTACTTAGTTTTAATAGAATAGTTATATTCAAACAATATTGTTGTGTTGTGATTTGATGTCTCAGATTCCAAATCAAACTTTAAATCATGGTAAACCCGTCTGAGCGCCTCCCTTCGTCCTCTCACCCAATCAGCTTCCCTGAATATCAGTTTGTCCCACCAGCCAGCAGGTGAGGTCAGCGTGACGTCATCAGTCGGCTGGCGTGTGCTGTTCAAACCGGCCAGCAGGGGGCGGGATCTGTCCGTCTGTAACCGCAGGGTTTAAAACTCATTTTAGAATATTTATTCATGGAGTATTTAACCTCTGTATGTTTATAAAATGAAGTTGTTATTCACGTCATCAGAAGTAGTACTAGAAGTGCAGGTAGAAGTACTAGAGGCTGTATATGTGGTACTATTTATAACAGCCATGATACAAACTATGGTGGGAGAACTAGTAGTACTTTAGCAATACTCAGAGCCTTCATGTAACATTAGTAACCATTTTGTTTGTAGAATAACTGAATGTATTCAAAGTACACATCGAGACCAACAAAGGCTCACGAATGAATGTGTCAACTCCAGATACTCTGTCATACAGAGTATCTGGAGTTGACACACACTTCTTGTTAGAACAGGTGATGACAGGTCCCGCCCTTCAGCTGTCAATCATCCCTCACACCTCTGACAACTAAAGAAAATTAAAATGTATTTACAAAACACCTCCTGACTGAATCTGCGTGGACATGAAGCTGTGCAGTGGACCTGTGTGTGTGTGTGTGTGTGATGGACGGGGTGTAAATGAACAAGACAGCGTGACGTCTTGTTCACGCCCCTCCTCACATCCAACATGGCAGCTCTGACTCGGTGACGGGAAGGGCCTCTGAGAGGTCACCAGGGGTCACCGGGGGTCACTGGGTGTCACGGCTGTGGGAATTGTCTCTGCCGCCCTCAAGTCCTCAATCAGGTCCTCGGGTGTTTATTTTCAATAAAGTTTTATGAACCTGAATCACTGTAATTAAAAAAGTCACTGAATAACGAGATGAAGACTCCTCTGAGCAAACATCGTTCCTCATCATCATCATCACAACTACAAGAAATAATACCAACACTGCTGTAAAAACTACAGCTCCTACTCAGACACGCCACTGATACTCCTACCTAGTACTTCCACAAATACTAATACCGCTATTCAGAGGCTGCTAGCTCAGCTGTTGTACAGCTAGTACTACTACAAGTTACACAACTACTAATACCACAAGAGCAAAGGCCGCAACCTCAGCAGCTACTGTAACTTACAGCGAAAATACTTTCAGTTTCTACTGTGACCTTTATATGTGTGTTTCTGACAACCGCAGACCGCCAGAGACTGTGTGGTGTGTGTGTGTGTGTGTGTGTGTGTGTGAGAGAGTTTCCAGACAAATCCACAGTCGATAAAGAAAACACCTCCAGGGATACTGGGACTGTGTGTGTGTGTTTGATTGAGCTTGAACACACACACACAGACACACTCTCACACACACACACAACCAACACACACACACAAACACAAACACACACACACAGACACACACAGATACACACACACACAAACACACACACACACAGATACACACACAGACACACACAGACACACACACACAGTCCCCGGTGGTCTGTGGTTGTCAGAGTGGATCCATCAGACCAACAGGAGGGAGGCCGTGACCTCCAAACCAACTCGTCTCATCTTCACTTCTTCTTCTCTCTGTTTCATCCTCGTTGCTCCCGACTTCTTCTTCTCTTCTTCTTCTCAATCATCAGCCCATTGTTCCCTTCTTCTTCTGTTCCTTTTCTGTCATCGCTTCCTCTACTGTCGCTTCTCTGTTGTTCATCTCTTTTGCTTCGGTATCTAGGTCGAGGATGCGCATCTTCTCTCTAGTGTAGACGACTGCTACACACACACACACACACACACACACACACACACACACACACAGTGGTTTTGGCAGCTCAGTGTGTGATCGCCCCTTGAGATGTCAGAGCTTTTAGGTCAGTTCGATCTCGAGCTTCAGCATCTTTCTGGAAAAAGGAAAGCCAGCGGGACGCCTATAAAAAGGCTGTGTGTTGTAGAAGATGATCGTTTTGTCTCTTGTCTGATGTTTTTTATCACGTTAATGTACTTCCCTAAAGTTCGAATCAAGACATAATTGAAAGTAATTTGTTTTTTGAAGCGTTTTTATTTGATTATGTAATACATTTTTCGGGTTAGAGCCAATAAATATGCCGCTAATAGAACATTAGTCCGGCTTTAGTTTCCTGAAAAAAATAGAAATAAAAATAGTAAATATAACGTGAAGATAAAAGTTTCCTTCGGAGGGGAGCAGTTTTATTTGATGACCTCTCCACCCGCCTCGTCTGCTGGGGTCAACAAAACAAACGCACTGATCCAACCTGTTGTGGCATATTGACATGGAGCGCAGAGTGTGTAGAGGCAGCCATGTCACCAACAACACACAAACACACACCAGTTGATAGTGTGTTTGAAGGCTGGGGTTAAAGGTCAAAGCGTGCGAAAAGAAAACACTTTTCTGTCAAACATCACAACAGAAAGTAAACCGAAAACCGTCCGTCTGCAGCTGTTTACCTGCGTTGATATTTACAGAATATCATGAGGTAAACACATATAACATCTAAGATCAATTTATTTAATAAAAATAGGTATATATTATATAAATACTTTATTATTGTATCAATGTAAATAAATATTTGAAAACATTTCTAATTAAATAAAATATAAAGCAGACCTCCTAGTGAGTCAATATTGATTAGATTAATGTTCCCGGACTGGTTGTTATTAATGTCTATGAATACCACTAGCTGAACAATATTTATAACTACAATAATAACACTTTTTTGCTCCTTACCTGTATGTACACGTGGTACACGTGTTGTTTGTGTGCAGGGACCTTTACATTGCTTCAATTTGGGAGTGGGTGTCTGTGGAAATGTGGCTGGTATCTGTTAAACCTTGCTTTGATTTCCTTTATTATTTAGAAATGTATGAACTGCTTTGTTTGCCTTCCTTTAGCGGAGAGTTTGTTTTACCTTTTCAGCAGGAAGTGCTGGAGCTGCTGTTTGTCGAGCCGGAGGAAATCCACCCTGACAGCCCGGCGGGGGAGATGGAGAGAAGGGGGGCGGGGTATAATTTGTAATGTATTATGTGTCACTTTATGTATTTAATTCACAATAAAATACATACGTGAACAACAGCGGGACCTTACTCCTAAAAAACAAACCTTCGCCTCAACGGTCAAACCTCTTTGTTTGCAGACAGAAAAACTCATGGATCACGAATTGGTTAAGAATGTCGCGCCATGATGAACACGAAACACGGCGGCGCACCCGGTCGATGACGTCGCCTTCGTCCCGCCCTGTGATTGGCTGCCGCTCGACCATCAGGAACCTTGATTTCCTGATTATCATAAGTCATATATACGTCTCTATATACTATATACAACACGATGTTATGGGTGAGCGAGCTGCCTGTAGCAAGATCCGCCATAAGACTTCTAGCCTTACTGTAACTCTCATAAATGTGACCCCCTTAAAGATGCAGGTTTCTTTAATGAGATATTGGCTCGAGGTGTTTACGCTCTACTGTTGCTAGGTAACGGTCGCTGCTGGTATCTGTGTTCTTAGTAGGTGAGTGAGTGAGTGAGTGTGTGTGCGTGTGTGTGTGCGTGTGTGTGTTTTAACAGCCGCTAAAAGCTTCCGCGGGTTATCGATGTCGTGCGTCACCTCTGAGCTCCCATGATGCAGTTCACCCCGTTCGTTTCCTCCATGGACATCTAAATGTATTTTGTATTCGTGTTGTTATCTGTGGTGTTAAGTTCTTCCTCACCTTGTTAAAATGTGTTTCTCCGACACTATTTGAAAGAAGGACGTCCAGAAGATGAGTGTCTCTCTCTATCTCAGAGCCAGATGCTAATGCTAGCTTAGCTTGCTTCTCTTTAAGACCCGGATGCTAACGCTAGCTTAGCTCGCTTCTCTTACAAGACCCGGGTGCTAACGCTAGCGTAGCTTGCTTCGGATGCTAACGCTGGCTTAGCTCGCTTCTCTTACAAGACCCGGGTGCTAACGCTAGCTTAGCCCGGTTCTCTCGTGATGCAGGGAGGAGCGGAGCAGCACCTGGTGGGCAGGTGAGGGAGGTGGGCTCCTGAAAAGAAGAGCAGACCCTCGGCCTGTGATTGCACAAAATCCTTTATTTCAGGGATCCAAGAGCACATTTTGGAACACGAGGCTCAAAGACAAACTGCATTTAAGTTTTTGTCCACACACACAGCTACGACCTTTAGTGACAAAAGTAACAAAATAAAGTATGTGTGCTTTAAAAAAAATAACATGAGTTTGGTTCCAAAGTTTGACTCAATAAAGTAACACAATGAAAATATAAAACTTTTTCATGTTCATCTGGTGGACGAAGTGGATCCATAAAAAGTCAGATGTCGCTCCAGTGATGGACTTATGGCACTGCTTTCGTTCTAAAGTGACAGACATGACGAAGGGAACAATACTCACACAACATGGAGTCATGAAACGCGTTTTCTATAAGACTACTTTCAGTGCTGCAAAAGGAGTTTGTACGTGATTTTAAAGTAGTGCTTGCACCGATAAAAAGAACAGTTATATACAACAAGCATTTCTTCTTTGTTTTTAAAGCGCCGTGGAAAATGATTGTCACCATATAATCTTTCACACAACATTTGATCTCACAACTGGTTTTAAATACTCTCTTTATAAGAAAAGCCAGTTTACATTAAAATCAAACTGAAGCAAATCTGTAAATGCATTTCGTCGTTTCCAGGACCTTTTCCTGGAGAGATAAAAGCGTCATGTTATAGTTTTCACAAGACATTCAACATCTGCAGACACACGCGTGTTAACATGTTTATCATTTGGTTTCTGAGGCGGCACTAAATGCTAAATGCTGTCGTCCAGCTTTTGACCTCTTAGCACTTCCTGAGACATCAGGGCTGAGCAGTAAAATAAATCACCTGATATCAAAGCTCTGGCTCATGTTAAAGAGAAAGCACGATTAGACGTTCTGGAGTGAATTCATTAGTTTGTTTGAGTTTTTGTGACTGAACCGACCCTTTAAACTGACCGAAGGAGCAGAGATGAGCGCCGAGGACGTGACCGCAGCATCAGCCCTCGCGTCCCACCGAGGAAGGTCCTGTTTCCAGAGCAGTTTGTGTGACTTCAGTACACAAAGACAACGCTGTATTAAAGTCTCTTTTGTGAGCTTCTCACAGTCCCGGTTTGGTTTGCTCCTCACTTCAAAGTACTTTGCACACATGACCATAACGGCCAGAGATGAAAATGAACAGACAACATTGAAGTGCAGGTTTTCTCTCAGTTGCCTCCATTAGTTACAGTTTTATGTCCTCAATGCGCCGCTGTGTGTGTGTGTGTGTGTCAACACTGCAGGATGAAGTAAAACAAGGCATTCATGGGACATTTCACACTGTCTCCAATCAGGAAACAAAAATGCTTATTTATGTTTGATTTCAGGTCCACTGACGGACCAATCAGATCCTTTCTGATCACATCTGGAATCATAAGTAGGCGCATCCCTGTAAACCTCACGCAGGCAAAAATGCATCATCGTTTTAAACGCGCCGCAGAGACGATGTGTTCTCTCAGCGAATGAAACCTTTCACCGCCTGAATCTCATCTCAACAATATTAACGAGGAGAATGAAATGCTGAAGGACTTCTATACGTCTACCAGCCAACATCTGCATGGGTGTTGGCTCACAATCTCACGGCTGCTTGTTGTGTTTATTGTGAAATCCACTCCAAACTAACTCCTTTAACACAGCAGTTTGTCTTTGCAAAGCACACACACACTCTGAGCTGCAGTATCCCACATTTCTACGGCAGCTATGGTTCAGGAAGAAGAATCTGAAAGCTAGGATGTGATTGTGGAGCTGATTGATCTTTTGCCGCGTCCTTCATCCGCCAAAGGTCCACGATTGTCATGTTAAATGGTTGCAGCGCTCAACAACGTGAAGGAGAGTCTCCTTTCCGTCATCTATGAAGCTGCGACCTGTCAGTCAGTATTGGAGACGTGTACCTTGTTCTCGGGTGCAGAGCGACTGGCCGGTAACGCTGTATTTACACATGAGGGAGAACATGGATGCTGAACACCTCTCCTTCAGAAGCAGACCTGACGTGGTCCTGCTGAGCACCTCTTTCTCCTCCTCTCACAGGTAAAATCCTGACGTCTGGGCGTCCTGCAGGGCGCTGAGTCTGTCCGGGAGGTCGCCGGGCGCCACTGCGTTCCCGTTGGGCATCAGACAGGTGCGGATGTACGCGGCGTTGGTGCCCCCGAGGAGGCAACTGTTCTCCAGCTGGAAGAAATACAGTTTTTATTCTTCTTTATAGCTCATGTTTTATCACAGTTACTGCTTGAGAAAAAGAAGCTTGACTCATTTTGTGTTTTAGGAGTTGCGTGAATACATTTATCAACAGGATGTCAAATATATATTTAAAGGTCGGTACTGCTGATGCTAAATGATATGAAACACGGCAACTATTATCCCACTCTGGAAAGCATTATACAAACAATATGTTTATGAGGGATTAGTCATCAGAGGCTTTGTCATCTAAGCTCAAGTCAAGGGACAAAGAATATGAAACAACACGATGACAACAGCTTCCCTTTATATCCTTTTACATTAGTGGTGCCTCCGTGCGCTGAGAATAGCCGGCGCCCCCCCACGCCGTTCATGGCATTAGGTAATGATGACCGTCAGATTGTAGGTCAGCACCGCTCACGCTCGACTGAGCGGCCTGGAAGTGTTTTCCTTTCAGCGACAGCCAGTGACCCTGAAGAATAACAGCGGCCGGCCTGATTCCATCCGCCATCGTGCAACAACAACTCCCACAATACATCTGATCTGTGAGATCCGCGACATGCGATGGTCTCCCCCTGTGACGGCTTCCTCCTTTTGATTCAGGAAATAGAAATAGAGACTTCCCATAGTGGACAACAGGGGGGTGTCGTCTTAACGAAGCAACTATTGTTCATGACGTGAAATAAACCAGAGGAGCTGCTGATTGGTTGATGCTGGAGGTCTCGTTACCTCGATGGACCAGCATGTGTTTTCTGTTCATGCCCCCCCCCCCCTCCCCCCCCCTCTCTTTAACGTGTTCTTTGCACCTGAGTTCATGCATCAATTCAATCGGATTATTTCAAACCAAACTATTACCCTTTGTTACGCCAATTATTTTCAACTTATGTTTAAAAAAAAAATCTACGGTCGTATTCAAATTGCTTCTTTTTTCCTTTGCACACACATTCATATTAGAGAAGCGGTGAGAATTCTGGTTTCAGATTCAGTTCAACAATTATCAGGTGTGTGTTAATGGACCGGTGTGGACAGTCCAACGAGATCAGAACGTGTTTGAGGACGTGGCGGCTGCTCGGCGGATTACAGCTCGTCGTACGCCGAAGAGAGCAAGTCAATTGGATGAATGTCTCGGTCTCCTCGTTACAACCAGCACCCCCGGTCCATCTGACCACAGTCATCGCGGGGCTGGCCGTACCGCAGGTCTCTCAGGGATCTATACGAAATCCGGATGTACGGTGGTATCTGAGAACAGCGAGGGGCCGAGGACCCGGCGGCCCCTCGCTGTTCTCTGCGCTGCGCTGATGTTCGCTGATATTTGAGAACGGCGCAGACTCGGGGGGGCCTCGAGGGGCCGGCATCGAGAGTTTGGCTCCCAGACCCGAGAGCTGTGAGGAGAGCAGCTCGATAATGAGGAGGACAGAATGTGCCTGACACGAGACAGACGGTCTCAGCGGGACGGCCGTGTCTCAGGGACACGCATCACCAAGTCCCCAAACTCCACCCCGTTCAGAGCATTTTAAGGCTGCGTGGATGAATGAGCATCATCAAAAGGTGTTTCCCGCAGTATTCAGCTGAGACTGCTCTGAAGGCTCTCTTACCTTGCTGTGGGGGGGCTCTAGTGGGGTGAAGGTGCCGTAGGCCTCTAACGGCGGCTGGGACGCAGAGCTCTGGGCCGGGCACGGCAGGCGTGCGTGGTCTCCCTGCAGCTGCTGGGAGGTCGGATAGTGACTGACGCCCGAGGTGATGTAGCCCGCCTGGCCGCCCTGCGCGCTCGGGGGGAAGGCTCCGTGTTCGTTTGGGAGGTAAGACCTGTTTGTTGTGAGCTGGTCCGGGAGGCTCTGCGGGGGGGCCGGGTGCTGGTCCCGCTGAGGCTGCCACTGGTGACCCGACTCCAGAAGAAGAGGTTTGTGTCCGCCGTTCAGCTGCGAGGCTCGAGGCGCAGCGCGTGGGTGGCAGTGGCTGCGGTAGCTGCCGTGATGGTGGCGGTCTGCCGCGTTAGGGATCCCAATCTGGGAGTCGGATGTCCCGGGCTGGGAGACGGAATGAATCTGTCCCGGGTGAGCGTTCACTTCTGCACTGATGTGCTGCAGCATCTGCTGTGACAGTTGGGTGATGGGAGGAGCCAGAAGGACGGCGGGTGCGAAACAGGCCAGTGGCTGCTGGAGGACGCTTTGGGCCGCCGGTCCAAACCCACCTCCGTCTCCTTGTCCCTGCGCCTCCGTCCCGCTCTCAAGAGAGTCGTGGATGTAGGAGAGGATCTCGTTGTTGGTGAGAAGGTCACAGAGGGTCGGGACCTGGCTCGGGCCCAGCTCCACCTGGATCATCCTCTCGTCCAGCAGCAGCAGCTCCAGGTCCTCGGCGTTCAGGCCCAGGTTCTCCAGGGCACTGAAGAGTTCGCTGTTGGAGCACGGCTCCTCTGCGTCCAGGCTCAGAGAGTCCAGCGTGGCCAGCAGGGGGTCATAGCCGGGTGGGGACGCCACGTGGCAGCCGTCGCTCTGCTGCTCGCCGAGAAGGCCGCGGTGCTGCGACACCTTGGGCTCCGTGTCCGGTCGGCAGACGTACACAGACTCGTCCTGGCTCATCAGCGCTCCCAGCAGGGACCCCGGGTCCAGATCATCAGAACAGCTCTTGTCCAATTTCCCCTTCTTGGACTTGTGGCCTTTGGCTTTTCCCTGGAAGGAGTCAGGGAAGCCGTGCAGCGGGTAACCCGTCTGGTAGAGAGTCGCCTCTCCGGTGGCGAAGGTGAAGGGAAGGTGCATGGATCTCTTCCTCAGGTGTTCCCCTCCTTCCTCGTCCCTGTGGATTGCAGAGAACAGTCTAACGAACGAATCAGCTAGACCTCAAACACCGGCGCCGTCGTGCACTTACACCAGCGGCCTCTGGGTGGCGATGATGTAGTCGGGCTTGCTGTTCTTGTAGACGAGCCTGGCGTTGGCCTGGACCCACTTCCACCGGTTGTCCTTGGTGAGCAGCCTGAAGACGGTGAGGCCGCTCTCGCCCGTCTTCATCACTGGAATCACACCAGAGGCTCCGTGTCACTGCTGTTTACGCTCCGTACGAAGCGCCGACCGTCACTTTGGTCACATAGTTACAAGACGCAGGTGCAGGTCGTGTTTCTGTGTTGCCTTCTTTCAGACGAATGCACCGCTGATTATTGTTCATGCTCAGCGTTAACTGAAGACACCACCAAACAACCACGAGCCTTCTATCAATTCTACAATCAATGTGTTATTATTTAGTGCAGATCATCTGAGCTGGAAGAATTATGTTAAATATGCTCGATTACTCGACCCAGAGTTCAACATTAAAGAGAAGCACGTAACGTGTTTTGGTGATCTGCAGAGTTTCAGTTATTGCTGCGTATTTTTAGCAGTAAAAGCCGCAAGCTGCTGACCTTTAAAAGGAACTGCAATATTTATGTCTGTGAACCAACTCGTCCTGAAGGAGAGACGAGCGCGGAGCTCAGAGACTCAAATCACCGCTACGCTCACCTGATTAGTTCATGTGACTTCCTGTTGTCTTCATATGCAGATTAAAATAGGAAACACGTCCATTACTTTGCACGTGAATCACAAAAGAGGAATATCAGTCATGTGCAGGTTTTGCTTTCCAAATGTGAAAATGAGCTCAACTGAACGCTAAACTTGCATTGAACACTCATGTGTTATTGCATTAGAGCGTGTGTGCGCCTGTGTAGTGTGTCTCCCAATGCATATGCACGTGTGTGCGCTTCCATTTGCATGACTACGTGCATACAGTGTGTGTCTTTGTGAGCGTGTCTGGGAGGGCGCCATGGTTACCACTAACCGGGTCATCCGGTACACGAGGTAAGTAGGACACTTGGGTGTCGCTGGGAGATTTCCTCCGTCATCAAGAGACGCACACGGCGTTGGTTTGTTTATGTGATTGTTGCATATGTGACAAGTGTCATGTGGAGAGAAACAGATCCACACAGATTTACTGCATTTACCGAGAGCTGCAATAAAAAAAGAGGGTTCTAGTGTTCCACAGGAACCGGCCTCACGGCGGATTGTTGAGTTCACGGACGAGCCGTTATTTAAATAATCGTGACTCAACAGAATGCAAAGACATGCAAACGTGCAGAAATACCATAATATGCTAAATACACATATCAGTGTCTTTTACGAAGCTGCATGTAAAGGGATACACATGTGGATGAATATATATCCCCCCTGAGGTGAAGCGTGCGGCGGTGACTCACTCCGGACGTGGTTCTCGGCGCAGTACAGCATGTCGGCGGCGTGGATGAACTGGTACCCCGAGCCTCGAACTCTTAGCTCCGCCTCCGTGTAGCCTAGAACAATTTTACCCCTGAGAGAAGGACACACTTAGCGATCTAATTCCCTTTTTCAACACTTTGAATAAGTGTGAGTGTTCTGCAGAACGCACTTTGCGTCGCAGGACATGGGTGTGAAGTCCAGCTTGTGCTTGGTCCTGAAGATCATGTTCCTGGTCCTGATCTCCAGGATAGCCGGAGACTGGAGGGGGGTGGCGATGGCGAACAGGGCGAGCTGAGGCGGGGCGCCGCCCTCGCTGTCGCACCGCTGGCGGCTCTGACCGTGGAGGAACTTGAGGCGACCCTGAATGTTCAGCGCCTGAGAGGGGCACACGTGAGGAAGCTGGGAATCGGTTGTAAGCACATCGGGTCCCTCTGGTCACATGACCAGTGCCTGGGACTTCATGTATCCAAATCCCAGGATTCACAATAGCACGTGGGAGCTGCACAGTGCTCCTGCAGCTGGTCAGAGGAACCCGTCAGCTCTTTGGCGTGTGGGCGTGTCTCTAGTGTTCACATTGATTATTTCCAGCAGAAGAAAGCTGGTCAGTGACACATTATCGTCCTGCGCCTGATCAGATGAACCAACGCTTAATCTACAGCGCGTACTTGTGTGCGACGGTAAAACAACCCGTAAAAGCGGGAGAGAAGCCCGCGTGGCCTCTCGTGTGAGGACTCCCACCTCCTCTGTTAGCTCTGCTTAATTGACCTCAGAGGGTTTAAGAGGCTGCGGCCGTGACGCCAGGAATCAGACCCTGAATAGCAGGAGGGATTACCGCGGCAAAGCCATGGCGAGCGGTGGACAGAAGCAGGAACCTGGCTTAATGCTCACGCAAACGCAGTGGGAGGGAGAGAAACGAGCAACACGAAGAGCTTTCAGAAAGGAACAACGTTTAACCGTGACAGTAACTTTCCCTCATTGACAAACAGCTGACAGCTTTCTGTTCTTTAATCTCTAGCAGCCCTCTGAATAAATGAGATGCTTTTAGGCATCGATGGATTAAGATGACTGTCCACCGAACACAGCTTGTTTTTCTCCACCTGCAGCTAATTGTCTTAGCGGGAGCTACCGAGTCTGAGCGAGTTCCCCCTGGTCCCCGGGAGGATTAAGGCCCTTTTCCCCACGAGGCTCCTACGGAGGATTACAATGGTGGCTTCTGATCGCTGAGGGGCTCTTTAATACTTTATTGCCATATTTGTGAGCAACTCATCGGGTTGGTTTGTCTGAAATGACATTACACCTCGCAGAGATACTTGTTTCCTACGTTTCAGTCTCACCAGGAAGCCGGAGGAGTTGTCCAACAAACAGCGGAAGCGGCAGACGAAGCTTCTCTCCAGGAAGGAGGAGTTCTCCGGGGGAAGCTGGTCTGGCTCGTAGTTCACCAGGCAGGAGGAGCTCGACGCCGACTCGCCATCTGACGCCAATAACAAGCGTTATTTTTCAGTCGTCCAACTGTCAGTGAGGCTGTGCGGTGACGCTGCCTGACATACCGGCTAAGGGATCCGTGGAGGGGGCCAGGCCGGCTGGGGGGTTGAGGGCCCAGTGCAGGTTGCTCCTGAACTCCTGCTGGTCTTCGGTGTGGATCAGCTCCAGCACGCTCTGGTGCATCACGTCAGTCTGAAGTTACAGGGGCAGATGTTTAGCAGGCGCCCCGAGGGGGTGCGTTCCATTCTGCTCGCCTTGAAGCTGAGCCAAAAGAAAAGTGTCGCTGCACATTTCACTCAAATAGTTGAAATGGAGCCAAAGCTCCACTGTGACCCAGCATGACCTGGCCGAGGACCAGAGGGGAGACAAAGGTCATGTGGGCTGCCCATTGGCTCCCAGAGCAACGGTCGGGCTAAGCTACACGCGGCTCGGCCAGAAACCGCCGCAGCAGAGATTCAAAATGTCACAACCTGTCCCGACTTTTGATGGTTTTGTTAACCGTTCCTTGCTTATTTCTCTGACTACCTGTGAAGCCTTTCGGACCAGGCCTTCTATCAGCTGGGTCTCGTTTAGCAGGTGTGAAAGCCGCTCGCACGCGAGCAGAGGCGGCAGCTTCAGCTCACATTGGGGTTTGTTGGGTAGATGCGGCGTGACGCGGCTCAGGTGGACGGGGGAACGAGGCGTTTACACCTCCCTGTGTGTCCGCGTCACCGTTTGAAAAACATCCGACTGGATTAAAGCTCTCGCTCCCGGTGAGACAATGCGTTCGCTTATAAAAAAAAAAGGATTTTTTACAAGCGAACGCATTGTCAAAGGAGTTGTTGTAGATGAGACGCTCAGTAGGCCTGGTACATAAAGTTCCCGGGTTACTCATTGATAAAAGGAGCAAACCAAACACACTGGACGGTCAAAAGAGCCAAGAAGAGCAAGGTGAATGTGTTAGTGTGCATTGACCTGATGGAAGCCGAGGTAATCCTGGATGGTGTGAGAGCAGAAGAAGACGGTTCCGTCAGCTGTGACCACCAGGACGAAGCCGTTCAGGGCCTGCAGGGAGGACACGGGTGAACAGACATAAACACCCTCCTTTTCAAGACAGCACTGGTGTCGGAGGAGGAGGAGTAAGACCACGTGTGTCAAACCCGCGGCCCGCCGGGTGACTTTGCGATTGTGAGAACGGTCCTCACGCACGCGCCGCTGATTGACTCCCTGCCCGCCGGTCACATGGTCGGCGCCACCCCTCCTCCATATGATTCAATGGTCTGAGTATCTGGCCGGAACCTGAAATGAGTTTGACACCCCTTCATCCTCCTGCCTGGGGGGCTCGGCGAGGTGATGACGCCGTCACAGCGCCACACCGCCTGCAGCCTCCTCACTGACGACGAAGAGGAGGATGATGATACGCTTCATGGTTTTATTAGGCTCACATCGCTGCTGTTAGATCAAAACTGTTTCCCTTCAAGCTTCTTCTAAAATCCATCACACAACGTCAAAAATGCATTAGCTTCAGGCTGAAAACAAGACCGCTTCTCTGAGCTGCTGAATAATTGACATGCAGGTGGGAGCGTCGTCTTACTCGATAGCGGGAACGTGTGACTAGATGGTCCTTCATTTACTCTTCACATATTGATCGTTCTGCTCAGCTCTGACTTTTATTCAAGTTGGAGGGTATTGAAAGAATGTTTTGTCTATGAAAACAAACTAAATGTATTTATATGTATTTCATCCATCCATTGCCACCATTCTTCTTTAATCTGAATGTTATGAAGCAAAAACACGAGAAACACTCTAGTTTTAGTTTCTCAACTGTGAGGATTTCCCCCCTTTTCCCAGAGCTTTTTAAACTGAAGAATAACCCAAATAAGGAGAGTTGTTGAGTGATTAATCAATAATATAAACAATAATCACATTATATTATCATTATTTTTTGATTTGTCGCAAATGAATATATACACAGCCTTAAACAAAAAGGTTAAACAAAATATATGATCGCTTCATCATTAGATTAGTTTGGGATCTGAGATTTAAGCTGAAAGCTGAAAAAAGGCTGCATGTGAAACACACACACACACAACCACACACACACAGCATGCACACACACACACACACACACAGCATGCATGCACACACACACACACACACAGCATGCAGAGGAGCACCGGCGCTGCGTATAAATGTTTGCTGCACATTTCTCTGTTTGTTGTTTGTGTCACATGACCATCCCTTTCCGACCCGGTCCACCACAGAAGAAGCCGGCGGTCTCTGGGCCGGCGCCAAGGCGCCACGAGCCGCGTTAACGATCTGCAGGTTTACCTTCAAACATCCGAGAATACTTTCTATGCTTTTAGTTGATTTCCACCCCCTCGTCAATAATGGATGAGCTCACCGGCGGTGTATAATTCACGAGACAGTCGGTGTGTCCGTAATGGACGAGAAGGAGGCTGCTGGTCTCTGTCTTCACTGCTGCAGTGACCCATTTACTCCTCTGGGATCAATGCGTGTATAAATAAACGGATGTAGGGCAGAGGAACCAGTGTTGACTTACTGTCTATTGACGTTCGTACCACCGAGGGAACATTTCACTACACTCAACTTCTTCACTGCAAAACTGAAAACAACATCTTTGTTTGTGGCTGTTGAGGCTGCAGAGACACAACAGTCGCCTTCTCATCTTCACAGCTTCCAGCAGCTTCTGTTCCTCTCTAGCGCGCGTCAAATGACTGTCACTAAAATGTACTTTATGCACAGCTGGGGCGCTACAGGTTCTGAAGGGAGCTCATTGGATGAATTCAATCCAGCGGCAGTCATGAGAAGTCTAATATGAGCTGGAAGAGGAAACATCTGTCAACTCAAACTCATCCCTCCTTCTCCAAAAGCTGACATCAGTCCAAGAAAACAAGCCACTTCCATCTTGTCCTGCTGTGCAGAGCCGCCGAGCCGCCACCGCTAAGTGTCAGCTGACCTAAAACAGCCAATTGTTGTTGTTGTTGTGGAAACGCTCAATGTGATGAACTGAGTAAATCGGGACGAGGGGGGGGCAGCTGTATGAATCCAGATGTAAACATGACAACCTGAGGAAGCAAAGTGATCCCACTGAATCCAGATGTTTAGAACGGCATGTGTTTCATTTACTGGTGACAGCAGCCTCACACACCTGCAGCAGCAGTTCCCCCTCAGGTACGGCCCCGCCCACGGACGCTGTGATGTCATCGCTGCTTTCCTTCACTCCGTTGGACGGCGGGTTCTTCAGTGTCACTGCAGAGGGGCGAGTTAGTGACCGACATTTATTACATTTATATATTCTACAATAAAGTCCCGTGTTATGGATTTGAAGGTAAGATTATTGAGCAGGGGGAGATAATATCTGAAAAACAAAAAAATGTATTAATAAGGAGAGAAAATTGATTTACAAGAACAAATATTCTCAGAGATTAAAATGATACATTTACCTAAAAAAAAATAATGCATCAATAGCGTAGATGAAACTCATTAAAACATATCATTTTTTTTAATAATTACATATTTGGATCCAAATTGAAAGGATGCTGAGTTTCAGTCATTTCAGCCATATATAAAAGAAACTTCATATTCCACTTGAATAGAGATCGACTATGTCAGTGTAGACAAAGACATCCGATCAATTATTAAAAAGTGCATCTGACATCTGCTCCTTTATTAGTGGGATCTCCTCTTTTCATCATCTTTTCTTTTATTGATTCTTTGTGCCAGATAGTAGATCCCCCCTCAACAAGCTCAAAAATAGACCAAATATGTTTCACTTCATTCGCTCCAAACTTCATGGTTACTGAGGATAAAACCTTTCACCAACAGTCAGGCAGACGGCTCCCACGGGGGCTCCCTGTGACCTCTGACCCCCCGAGACAAAAACACGCAGGCTGGATGAGGATAAAGTGTGTTTGAGTCTGAAGGAAACAAAAAGCCGCTCTGCAGACATTGATGGAACAAATATACATATACATGAATACTTGTATATATATATATATATATCCATATATATATGGATATATATATATATATGTATGTGTATATATATATATATATCCATATATATATGGATATATATATATATATGTATGTGTATATATATATATATCCATATATATATGGATATATATATATATGTATGTGTATATATATGTATATCCATATATGTATGTATATATCCATATATATATATGGATATATATATGGATAAATATATATATGTATATATATGTATATATATATATCCATATATATCCATATATATATATGGATATATATATGGATAAATATATATATGGATATATATGGATATATATATATATATATACATACATGTCAGTGTGGAACAACCGTGCATGGAAATATAACAAAATATTATAAAATAAAATGTGAAAGTAAAGTGAAGTAAATCATGCATACTTTATACTTAATGCACTTAAAACACAAATAAACACCAAAAGAAAAGGTCTCGTGGTACAAAACCAAATCTTCACCAAGCGGCATCTGAACCGACAGAAGTCACGAGGCCGAGGGAGGGAGGGAAGGAGGGAAGGAAGGAAGGAGGGAGAGAAGGAGGGAGGGAAGGAAGGACGGAGGGAGGGAGGGAAGAAAGGACGGAGGGAGGGAAGGAAGGAGGGAGGGGCGGAAGGAAGGAGGGAGGGAAGGACGGAGGGAGGAAAGGAAGGAGGGAGGGAAGGACGGAGGGAGGAAAGGAAGGAGGGAGGGGGGAAGGAAGGACGGAGGGAAGGACGGAGGGAGGGAAGGAGGGAAGGAAGAAAGGGAGGGAGGGAAGGAGAGGGAGGAAGGAGGGAGGGAAGGAAGGAGGAGAGGGGGGGAAAGAGGAGGGAGGAAGGACGAGGAAGGAAGGGAAGGAAGGAAGGAAGGAGGGAGAGGGAAGGAAGGGGGAAGGGGGGAAGAGGGAAGGAAGAGGGAGGGAGGGAGGAAGGAAGGAGGAGGAAGGGAGGAGGGGGGGAGGAAGGAGGACGGAGGGATGGAAGGAGGAGGGGTGGAAGGAGGGACGGGAAGGAAGGAGGGAGGGAAGGAAGGAGGGAGGGGGGGGAAGAGGGAGGGAGGGAAGGAGGGGGAAGGGAAGAAAGGAGGGGGGGGGGAAGGAGGGAGGGAAGGAGGGACGGAGGGATGGAGGGGGGGGAAGGAGGGGGGGAAGGAAGGAAGGAGGGAGGGGGGGGGGAGGGGGAGGTAAGGAAGGAGGGAGGGGGGAGGAAGGGAGGGAGGGAAGGAAGGGAGGGAAGGGCAGCGGCCACAGCTTGTCGGCTATCAATAATTGAGGAGCTTCAGGAGGGGGGTGTGGGGGGTGAGGGGGTGGGGGGGGGTTACTCTGCGCCCTGACGTCATGGACAGCAGCCAGTAGCAAGGAGAAACACCCCGAGGCGGCGGCGAGGGGGGGGGGGGTGGGGGGGGGGGTCTGTTGGCACAACGGAGGGCGGCGGGGACACAGAGAGCCGATAAAAGCATCACAACATAGAAAGATGAAGGAGGCTTGAGAGCAGGAGAGGAAGGTACCAGAAGTCTCCATCACGCTGCAGCCTCGCCACTCGTCTGGAGGGTCCCGTCTAAAGCGCCGCCTCATGTATTATACAATATATAAGAGAATACACTCCTACAGAGGTTCAGCCCCCCCAACAGCCATGAGGGTTTGAGGGTGTTTAAAGAGGTTTAATCATTCTTGGCTTTACTGTTTTAATTATCTTTATCTTAATTATCTAAATAATGTAACAGCACATTTCACACTTTTACGGTAAAGGAACAATGTGAATACACAATTATTCCCTTAATGAATATAGTTTATGTTTATCTGGAGCAGCGAGTCGATGGAGGAGTGAATGAGAACTCAACTAGAGAGCTTCAACCTTTCCCAGGCGTCCTGAACGCCTCTTCAAAGCCTCCATAGAAATACATTTGGCATTTTCTTCTTCATGAGGTGGAAAATAAAGTCTGATACAGCAAGAAATTGTCTTGGAAACGTAGCTTTGGATGGTTTGTTGGTCTTGGACCCACAAACAGGTTAAATGCAGAGGACCACCACTGAAATAACAAAACAATTCTGAAGTCAAAAGTTGAAAAGTGGGCGCCTGCGCCCCCCCCGTCTTTCTTCAAAAGGTCTATAAAGCGGTCGCGAGTGGATTATCCCGCCATGTTTTTGCTCCCAGAGGCTTTCATCCTCCCACCTCCTCTCTGCAGTGTCTTCAGACCTACATTAGTGTGTGACTGAGGCTTTGGGACAAGGGTCGTCTCGTGGCCACGGGCGAGAGGAGCTGACCTACAATACGCTCAGGCCCAACGAAGGCACCGCCATGGGGGGCGTCCAAGGTTCATGCACTCAGAGATGGGACTGATGTGTTTTCCCGTCTTTTTTTAAAACACAAAGAAAACGGAAAGCTCAAGAGGTTTGTGCACACGTGGTGTTAAGCCGAGGTGGAATCTTTCGAGCACACCGGGGGAGTTTGGTTCACGCAGGCAGCTCCGCAATTACAACATTTACAAACACGCAGGAGAAAATACGACCGTTTGCTGCTGAACAGCGACTGGACGTCCAGACAGAACTACACACACGGCGCTTTGGCTTCCCTACTTTAAGTTAACTAAGCTCGCTAATTTGGGCTGAATTATCAACAGCAAGCAGCTGCCGAGAGACCGCGTGATTAAATGCTTTTTTATAGATTATATATATATATATATATCCATAATATGGGGAAAGGATTGGGTGTGTTCAAGCTCAACAGCTTTTGTAGTCTCTAATATGAGTTTGACCCGAGGTTCTACACTGATGTAACGGAGAGTCATTTTCAATGTATTGTATCTTATTTTTGGTTATTATTCAACAATCTTGTTGTGTGTGTGTGTGAATTTTATTTTGATGAGTTAAATTTGCGGAAACTGCGATTCATCTCTCCTGCGCCTCCTAGGCTTCCGTAGTCCCGTTTTTTCCGTCACACAAGTGTTGCTCTGTTGAAGGTAAGTTCGCTGTGATCTCTAGAAATATAACGGTTCACATCAGCAACTGGCGCGGGTAACATGACCACGGTTTCCAGCTGTGGTGCGTCATCATTTTAGACGATAAAAGTATACGTTTGGTCGTTTTCGCGCCGTTTTTACTCGCTACGTCCGGTCGTCCTGACGGATACGTTCCCCTTTATGGACCCTGTGTCTATGGAGCTGATGTGCAGAGACCAGAAGGCAACGTCTGTGTTTTATTGTCTTCTGCAGGAGCAAATAAATGCTGAAAAGATCAGTATCTGAGTCCATGCCTGAAACACATCTGTTACACTGACATTATTGCTGATTCCAACACAAACACAGATGTCGCCATTTAGCCGCACCTCAAAACTGATTCCATCACTTCACGGCGGTTGAGAAACCTCCCGGCTTTCTGTCTCTGTACTCTGAAGCCTTCCACCACTGTGTGAGTCTGCAGCGCTCGGCCTCCAGGTCCTGAGCGACGCGTGAAAGCCTATTCTGGTATTTTGGCAGGCGAGAGACAAAAGGGCAGAGCAGCTGTTTCCCGATCACAGACGAACATTTACCAGCTTCACTTTCTCTGCCCGTGTCCCTCTCAAGGCTGCTCAGCGCCAACACCTTTGGACCAGTAGTGATGCTGCCGGCCAGCAGTCGGTCGCATTGAAAACCTGTTTCCTACCGGAGAAGAAGCTCTTGGTCCGGAGGAAGCTGACGCTGAGCCGCAGGATGGACAGCTTGTCCAGGCTGGAGACGACGTCCTGGGGGAAGGGCAGCATGCCGGCCAGCCGGTCCAGCTCAGAGTTCAGGCGGTCCCGGTGCCGCTTGGACGGGTTGGACTTGCCGCCCTCGGCTGGGACGGGCCTGACTCTGTGGGTGGGGGGGGGGGTGAGCGAGGGGGGGCCTTCAACGCTTTTATCGCCATCGATTGAATACGTGAATACATATAGCGATATATCGGTACTGCACGCAGATCCACTTCAGCTCCAACGCTTCCACCAATAAATAAAAGTATGCAGATACACGTCAGATGGAGAATATTTACATTGTATATATTGAGATTATTTTTCTCACATATTATGAAGTGGTATTTGAAAATTGTTAAACATTTCTAGTATTTTCGTGTTATTTCGTATTCAGTGTGTGTTAAATACAGTGTGATTGGTGTCTATCATTAGTTACTGTGCAATATTTTATAATGGCAGATTAATAAGTAATCGCTGTGAATCTACAGTGATAAAGACTTTCGTCTTTCAACAAACCACAGATGAAGTTAGTGAACGTAAACGTAACGACCCGTTAAATAACGTTAATAACGAACCCTTTGTGCGCAGGTTTCCTTCTCTTCCGAGCGGAGAACATGTTGGTTTATTCCAAACGAGCCGCGAGACGTCCATAAAGGAGTCCGGCAGAGTCCGGCAGAGTCCAAACGAGCCGCGAGACGTCCATAAAGGAGTCCGGCAGAGTCCGGCAGAGTCCGGCAGAGTCCGGGAGAGTCCTGGAGAGTCCTGGAGAGTCCTGGAGAGTCCGGCAGAAACCGGGAAACTAAGCTAGCTTAAATTTAAAAGCCCCGACCGTTACGATACCGTTACGTTACGTTACTTTACCGTTACTTGCTTTGTTAACGTTACGTTACCGTTACGTTACCGTTGTCCCCCGCGGATGTAAAAATACACCCTTTCGGACTCGGCATCACGTGGGAGACTTTTCAGCACGATAGTTTGATAAGAATCAAAGAGACTTGACACTCGTCCTCTCGCCTCCCGGACCGCGCTGCCGCTCTGCCGCGCTGCCGCTGCGCGCTCCCGGACGAGCGCGCGCTGCTCGGGCTTTGCTCTGACGTAGGAGCGCGCGGCGGGTCAAAGGTCACGTGTGGGAACGCGGCGGCCCTTGCGGTTTACTTCTGTGAAGACTTTTCGGGTCATTTCAACACTAATGAGAGGTTCGTCCTCAAAGGCGCCATGCGGCTCGACTCTGTTCACACTAAAGAATACACACGTTTGTGCGTAAGAAAAAATACAATATGCATATTGTTATAACGTTACGGTTTTTGTTAGGGTTATTATTTAAAAGTATATATATATATAATTTATTCTTAAAATAATATATATATACAATTTATAAATAATATAAAAAATATCTTAAAATATCACAAGATGTACATCGCAGTTTCTAGTGCTTCACAGTCATTGATTTTTCTTTAAAGGAGGCAGCGCTGTTGCAGCATTCATTTGTATATTTTAGTTCACTTGCTTTGTTATGCAGCGTGTAAAACAATAAGAGTGAGTTTCCATCCTCTTCCAATTCGGTGCTGCAGCCAAAACCATTACGGGGTAAACGTGGAGCTACAGCGCCACCTGGTGGGCACCTGAGACCACCACAGCCATCACAAGTACAAGGACCTAAACATGAATATGCATACAAAAGTACATTTCATTCAGTTTGTAACATTTACTTTCTTGTAAATTCCGGCCTGCGGCAGACAAAGCGTGTGAAACGGTAAGTGTGATCAGATCACCTTTAATACGGTGTGCATGAAAAGATTTTGAAAAGTTACAAAAACAACATGATTACAAGAGGTTAAAATGAATATGCTGTGCAGATAATGTACAAATATTAAGAAGGCTTGAGCCACGTTAAGGCAATATGACACAACATAACATTTTACGTAAATGCATATATATGTATATACAAGTACACAAAGATACTGCAATCTGGAAAGTGATCTAATAAAGTACAAAGGCTTTTGCAACAAGATATATTTTATATTTCTATGTGACCACTTTGTGTTTTAAGCCCTTAAGATTTTAAAGATGCATTTCAGGAAACAAGAGCTTCATTTTGTTGAACACAAATCCATATGTGCTTACTTGTTTTGGTTTTATTTTATCTGAGGAGAATCAACGGTTGAGAGAAATTCAGGGATTCATTTCAATTTGATTTTGAGAACTTTTCTCTGGCTCATTTTTCAGACTGATGCGCTTGATATTTATCTTCAAAAACAATGTCTTGTATGTACTGTAATAGTAAATATATTATACATTAGGATGAATAAACTACATGATATTAAAAGAGAGTATTGCATAATTTTTTCCCTCTTTCTTTTGAACATAATATTTTGTTTGTGCGTGACGCTGTAATATTTATGATTAGCTCTTATGCACTTATGCAATCTCAGAGACATGAGAGATGACATTTTGAGCCTTGAAGTTAAAAGTTCTGCTCGTTACGTGTTGAAGAACCTGTGACTACATTACCCAGAATGCCGTTCAACAAGTCAGGTGTCCCAGATCAAAAGTGCTGATTGCTTCTTTTTTTGCAAATGTCTAAAACTTAAATATACATTAAGTTACAAAAGATGTGGGAAGGAAAACACCAGCTAGAGAGATTTGTTCCTTTTCATGACAAAGACTGACGTCCACATTTGTTTGCTTTTTGCTGCATTTTCAAAAAGTTGGAAGCCGTCAGAAAATGAACAAAAATCGGTTTTAAGTGCAACTGGAGACTTGTGTGTAGAAATTGTGAACGTCAGATCATCCTTAAGTACTGAGGTGTGTCTCATGAGACGTGTTTGGACTCTTTTCCCTTTGGCATCCTGCAGAAATAAACATCACAGATGGCTTTGAGGTCCGCTCGCACTGCTTTGGTCTCCTTAAACCGACTGAAACCTCCTCGTTGTGGAATAATTGTCTCTCTAAAGTGGATAAATGTTGATGTAATCATCTGATATCAGAAGCTCAGTACGAAGCTCATTTCCTGCAGTTCGGGGCTTTTTCTCCTGGCGTTTCTGTTCAATGGAAGTGCTGATTTCAACGTAGAAGCAGACGAGCATAAAGAGATCACTTAAAAGGCACTTGTGAAGAGCTGTTTTTTTTCCCTCATTTCAAAAATTGCACTAGCTGCCTTTAAAGCGTTTTACTTCTGTGTTGGATGACTTAGACACAGGGACAGAGGTGTGAGTGGAATCGCTTTGGACAAAGAAACCTGACCTCAACTCTCACCTTCAGTCTGGTTACTCGTTCATCTCAGTTGGGTTCTTCTGAAACACGACCTTGTCTGGAGGATCAGGCTCTTATCGGTTTGTATTATCTAATTTTACTGTACTTTGGCGAAGACAAATAGTGCAAAATAAATCTCACAAATTGGTTCCGGGGAGTTTAAGGCCGACTTCTGTCAAATTGTCTCTTGCAAGTAAAAATGTCAACAGAGAGCGAGTTCGGTCGGCGTAAAGTCGGTCTTCTTTCTTTCTTCCTACAACAAAAAAAACAACATCACAGAGACATTGAAGGAAGAAGAAGAGCCGGCTCAGTGACTGAATGCGTTAAAATATATAAAAGAGGCGCGAGCCAGAAGCCGTCTTCACTGAATAACAAATTAAAATCTCCCTCTGTTTTTATCCTGCCGAGCGCTCATGATAGAAATCGTGTTTTTGTTTCTTGGAGGATTCATGCGTTTTTTAACTTTCATCCAGCTCGTAAACACGTAGAACCGCTCCATCCGAAGATGGAGTCACTGCACGGTCATCACATCATCCAACACGGTCAGCTGGTTCCAGAGGTCAGAGGTCAGAGGTCAACACGTCGACCTCAGTGGGTGCGTTCTGCTGTCCGGGCACAAGGGGGCGGTGGTGAGTTTTAGTAGCCTGCGTCCGGAAGGACGTTCTCCAGCTTCAGCTTCAGTTTTGTGTGATGTGATCCAACCAGCTGCGAGGAGGGAATCCAAGCGTCTTCCCTTCCGCGAGGAGAGAAAAGAGACACGCGTGTCCTCGTCCCGCTGCGGCGCAGCTTACGTTCTTCGGTCCGACGCTCTCCCGTCTTCCCTTCTGCTTCCTTTCCGCGGCGGCTTCCTATTGGCTGTCGGGGTAGTAGGCGTTGGGCGGCGAGGAGAAGGGGAAGCCTCCGTTCCCGACCGCCGGGCGGCTGATCTGCGAAGCCACGAAAAAAAAGATGGATTTCTTCATTCACTCATTTTCAAACAGGTCACAGTATTCAGAGAGGTCACTGCTGGGTCACCTGCGTCTGCTCACAGAAGCTCAGAACGCCGTCCGGCGGCAGACTCGCTGTCACCTGGCAGGACAGCACCGCGTCATCCAGCTCCGGCAGCGCCCCCCCCCCGGGCAGGGTCTGGTAGAAGCATGCGGGCTTGGATGGGGGTCCGGGAGGCTCGTTCAGAAGGCAGGGAGGGGGGGGCGTCTCTGAACGCACAGTGGCTCAATGGGGCCGGCGGCGGCGGCTGCAAAAGGAAACGGCACGCTGGTAGTCTGCGGATGCACAAACGCCGGCCCGCCGACGCCCGGCGTGCCCCGGCGCGTTGCCGAGTGGTGCGCCTGCTGGCGAGGCCTCCAACGACCAGACCAGCCTCGGGTCGGCGCCGCTTTGGGTCGTCAGCCCGAAGAGCCCCTCGACGGTTCCCCCGGGGAAACTTGGGATACTTTGGACGTAGGTTTCCAGGAAGTGGTCGGCTTGGTTGAAGTTGGAGGCGGAGCTCCCCGCGTTTCCCTGCGCGTTGAACCCGTGCTGTCCCCTGGCGCTTTGGTCCCAGAGGCCGCTCGGTGTCCACGTCTGGGGGGGGCTCTGCATGGGAAGAGCCGCTTGCTGGGGGTGCATCTGACCGGCCGCAGGGGGCCTTAGCAGGCCGTTGCCCCCGGCGGCGAGCGGCAAGGTCCCGAACTGGTTCTGCGAGTGAGCCGCCACGAAAGGGTCGAAGGTGGGTGGAGCAACAGGAGCGCTCTGCTGGAGGGCCAGCGGAGGAGCCTCCATGTGGGTCAGCCTCAGCGGCCCTCCGTTTGGGATCAGCTGGCTCTGGGGCTGCGGGGGCCAGCCCGGGTTCTGGTCCCGGAGCTCAGGAGCCGCGAAGCATTCCGGCGCGGCGTCTGGCCGCTTGAGCGCGCCCTCCCGCTGCAGCTGCTCCTCCACGTAGGTGAGGATGTCGTTGCTGAGGATGTCCTCCAGGTTCTCGCTCACCTCGCAGCTGTTGCTGCTCATCTTCAGCAGGGTGCTCTCCCAGCTCTTCAGCTCCTCGGGTCCCACGTCCAGGGCCTCGCTCAGGTCGTTCTCCCCCAGGATCTGCTGCAGGGTCTCCATCATGTCCTGCACCGTGGCGTCGGACTTCACCGGCTCGGGTCGGGGCGCGGCCGGCTCCCAGAGGTCCCTGGGCACGCTGACCGTGGCGTGGCTGTCCTTGAAGGCGGCGTCGTTGATGCTGTTGAAGGCGTTGTTCTTGTTGTGCTCGCAGTAGAGAGACTGGTCCTGACTCAGCATGCAGCCCAGCATGGACTCGCGGCTGACGATGTAGTCGTCCAGCTTCCTCTGCTTGGGGGCGGAGCAAGGGTCGGGGGGGTCGGGGGCGTCGACGGTGGGAGCGACATCGTACAGCAGCGCCTCGCCGGTGGCGAAATTGAACGGCAACTGCAGCCGACGGAGGCGCAGCTGATCTTCTCCTTCTTCGTTTCTGTGGTAAAGAAAACACAGCAAACGATAGTAGGTCTCATGTGACCCCCCCCCCCCTCCCTCCCTCTCCCCGCTCTTTGCTTCTTTCAACTCACATCAAAGCTCTCTGGCGGGCCACGATGAAGTCCGGTTTCCCCGCTTTGAAGACCAGCCGCGCGTTGGCTTGGACCCAGATCCACGAGCCGGTTTTGGCCAGAAGCCTGAAGACGCTGAAGCCGCTTTCTCCGGTTTTCATCACTGCCCGGCGACACGGAGAGAGTAAACGGCAGAACGCTTTCCGTACCACACGGCGTGAAACGCTAAAACGCGGCGCGTGCACGCGGCTGCAGGGGCGACTCACTCCGGACGTGGTTGTCGGCGCAGTACATCATGTCTGCAGCGTGGATGAAGTTGTAGCCCGAGCCCTTCATGCAGAGCTCCACTTCGTTGTAACCCAGAACCACCTTCCCTCTGTGGAGCCACAAGGTCTCAGACGATGAGGTGATGAACACATTAATGCATCACTAATTGTAATGAAACACAACGTCTACCATGCTGCTCGATCAGTAAGGACTTTGTACGGTGTGCGTGCGGCCCACCTGCTGTCGATGCCCATGGGGGTGAAGTCCAGCTTGTGCTTGGTCTGGAAGATCAGCGTCTTGGTGCGGATCTCCAGGATGGCCGGCGGCTGCATCTGCGTGGCGATGCAGAACAGGGCGAGCTGCGGCGGCACCGAGGCCCCGTCCTCCGACACCCGGTTCTGTCCGTGGATGAACTTCAGGCGGCCGCGGAAGTTCAGAGCCTGGAGACGGGCGAAAAAGACCCTCAGCGACCTCTGACCTTTACACGTGTGCAGCCACCTTGAGGAGAGAGACTGGGCGGTTTCTCACCAGGAAGCCGGAGGAGTTGTCCAGCAGGCAGCGGAAGCGGCAGCAGAAGTTCCGCTCCAGGAAGGAGGAGTTCTCGGGGGGGATCGCCTGGGGGTCGTAGGTCATGACGTTGGTGCTGACTTGCGCCGAGCTCTGCTCGCCTGCGGCAGCGGAGAAATATTCAGCATTTACTGGATAATCGGTGCTGCAATCATCATCTCAGTAGAAGCCGTTATCTATATTCAGAAAGATCTTTGCAAGAAAATACTTTTTTAGTCGCAACATTCACTAAAAATAACAGAAATCTGCAGGTGATTTGGAGGATAAGCTCCTCCCCTTTGCTCACTGAGGCTGTCGCCTCCGTCCTGCTGGCTGCTGTTGGGGTTGAGGGCGAAGTGGAGCTGCCTCCTGAAGAGAGCTCTGTCGTCTGTGTGGATCAACTCAAACACGCTCTGGTGGACGACGTCCGACTGCAGGAACACAAACACGTTTATCCACATTGTGCGTTACATTGTTGATCGTTAGTCGAATATCGATACAAGAGGTTTGATTGAGTCGCAAAAAGAAGGACGAGAGGTGGCCGAGCTCAACGTCGACGTTCATCCACTCGACTCAACGTGTGTGTCTGTGTGTGTGCTTGTGTGTGCATATGTGCGTGTGTGTGTGTGTGTTGTCCGGATTGACACAAGACAACTGGATCTCTCTTAAGCTTGGAGCAAAAACAACCGATCCTGCAAGATTATTATCTAATATTTACACTTTGACTGTAGAACTAAAACTTGTACCGCTAGTACTGTGTGTACTTAAGATAAATATATTATATGTATATTATCCCTTTTCATGTGGCTGGGGGGGAACAATCAACCGTATCATCACATGATCGTCGTTAGCGATCGTCAGCTCGTGCTTGGTGTTCTACCTGGTGGAAGCCCAGGAAGTCCTGGATGGTGGGGGAGGTGTAGAAGACGTAGCCTTCCGCCGTCACCACCATCACGAAGCCGTTTAGAGCCTGAGATGAGAAACAAGAGATGAGAAACAAGAAATGAGAAACAAGAGATGAGAAACAAGAGATGAGAAACAGGGCATGAGAAACAAGAGATGAGAAACAGGGCATGAGAAACAAGAGATGAAAAACAGGGGATGAGAAACCAGAGATGAGAAAACCAGAAATGAGAAACCAGAGATGAGAAACCAGAGATGAGAAACAGGGGGTGAGAAACAAGGGATGAGAAACAAGAGATGAGAAAACAAGAAATGAGAAACCAGAGATGAGAAACCAGAGATGAGAAACAAGAGATGAGAAACAGGGGATGAGAAACAAGGGATGAGAAACAGGGGATGAGAAACAAGGGATGAGAAACAGGGGATGAGAAACAAGAGATGAGAAACAAGAGATGAGAAACAGGGGATGAGAAACAAGGGATGAGAAACAAGAGATGAGAAAACAAGAAATGAGAAACCAGAGATGAGAAAACAAGAAATGAGAAACCAGAGATGAGAAACAAGAGATGAGAAACGAGATGAGAAGCGCTCGTCCTCGGCTTCCCGTGGCCCCGCCCACACCGCTCAGGTGTTACCTGGAGCAGCAGGTCTCCCTCGTCGAAGCCGACCCCGTCGATGGAGGTCGCCTGGGAGGAGGAGGGGGGGGCCGTGGAGCAGCTGGACGGAGTCGGCGGCCCCCCGAGCGCGAGGCTCTGCGCGCTGGTCCAGCTGGAAGCGTTGTGACCTTTCTTCATGGTGGCTGGAGGGGAAGAAGAAGAGGAACCGTCAGCTCGCTGATGCACAGGAGAAGAAACGTTTGAGCTTCACGTTCAATTGATTAGATCTGATTATTTCTCATGGAAAGAAGCAGTGACGGGAACTGAAACTGAACTTTTATTTTTGGAATCTCTGCACAAAGGTTGTGCGACATTTCAGTGCAACGGACTGATGATGATCGTGTTTACAGAACGCCGTGAACACGTGGAGGGAAACGAGAAGCGAAAGTTCTCCGTCTCATTCTGTCAGGGTGGAGCCGCCTGAGGCTTACAACACCGTCAGCCAACTCTTCCTCCTCTTCCTCTACTTGTCAGCAGCAGAAAAACATCCTTCAATATCAACAAAAGGCGGAGAGGAAGCAGGTGGAGGAAAAAAAATCTTTCTGAATAAATGTAGGCTTCATTTCTACTAAATGTGAAATGTCAATCAAAGAATGTGGCTTTGTGTAGTAAGGAAACTACTGCTGAAATATCTTTATTTTACAGGGGAGTAAAGGATGAGACACAAATTAATTATTTGATACAGTGAAGGTCACGTCATACTAATAAGGTTATTTGTATCCCCCGAAGAGGAACAAAATGATAAATGGGAATAATCTGAATGTAATTTGCAGGCTGCTGGTTGGGAGTACTGGCACAGCTTTTTAAAACCAAGTCACGCACTTTATTTGAAATGCAATGCCTGAGGCACACACACACACACGCACACACACACACGCACACACACACACGCACACACACACACACACACACACACACACACACACACACACACACACACACACACACAGTGCACGATGGCTCAGCCCTGCTGTTAGTTTCTGGCCCCAAAACGAGGACAACAGGCAGAGCCACAAAATTACCCGTTGGCCTCTGCGTTTTCCCCAAGAGGGCCGAGCGTGGCGGAGGGGGCGGGGCCTTGGGAGGACGGCCGTCATGTGAAGTGGTCGACGGCGCCCCGGGGACCGGATCGATCCGGATCGTGGTGGTTATACGAATGGCGCTCAAGGGTTTTGTTCCCAAACGAGAAGAACGGAGGCGCGCGGCGTCTTCTCCAACAAAACCATTTGTTGCGTTTTATGTGTAATTTAGAGATCATAACTCTCTGATTATGAGTTCATACAGAGATAATTACATGTGACGAGCTCAAGTTCTACTCTGAAAGAGGATCTTTAAAAAAGTTGTACGGCAACAACAAAGGTTGGTTGATACACAACTTTAATTATCACACAGGCTGGTTGGTCCAACGGGTAAGAACATCAAAAGGCTTTGTACATTCAACACGCCACAGGAACTCGTACACTTGGTTTAGAGCCACGAGGAGTCGGATGATTTGAGATTTGCCATAACAGCCTGGAACAAGCAGATGGTTTGCTTCAACACACTGAGGCACGAAGGGAAACTCCCCGGCGTCCCATCGCATCTCCTCCCAGTGAAGGAACCACTCAGAAGCGCACGTCAAGGAAGGCCTTCAATGGCCGACCAGACGGAGCCATCGAGGTGCGACCAGCTTAGATCTGTAGTCTCCATCTATTGGGGATCACAGAGCATAAAGAAGTGCACTGTTGCCCCCAAGGGAACCAAACCACACAACGTCAGACAGGAGGAACAACTTTGAAGTAAATTCCCTGATGTGGAATGTGTCATTTTAGTGTAACAAACGTGGCGTTGAATACTGACTGGATACCCGACCTCGCACGCTACCTGGTAAATCAATAGTGTGTGTTGTGAAATGAGTCGTTGGGCAGCTTAAATATTCGCACAAAGAACAGCAGAAGAATTATAGTTTCGCTTGAGAAACCTGGTTAATTTATCTACTAATCAACTGATCAACCAATGAGCGACTTTCTCTCCTCAACAGACGTGGAGGTTGTCTTATATTTTCTGGCAACAACAGATATTGTCTCTAGGCAACGCTTATTAAGGATCTTACGCAAATACAAATTTGAATCGAGAAACTTTTCATACATTTTAGCCTGAAGAGGATCTAAGTGGAAATATTTGTTGATAAAGACGACGCAAGCAGCATGTGGTGTGTGCGTGTTTTTCTTACACAAATATAAAGAAAAGATGTGTTAACCAAAGCTAGACCCAAAGGATTGTCAGTAGTGTGCGTGTGTCTTGGGTTGCACGGTTTCCTTTGTGTGGTTCAGGTGTGTCTCTGTGTGTGTGTGTGTGTGTGTGTTATGGAAGGGGGGAGCCTCTCATATTCCCACCACTCACAGCTGGAGGCGATCCGCTTTAGAGGTTCAGCGTTTCAGCGCAGCAACAATGAGCTATTTCAGTACGCAGGAACCAGCGTGTGAAACAGACGGCTTAAGATGGAGGAGGAGGACTGAAAGAAGCGCGTGAGGTGGGAGAGTCTGACCAAGTGGGATAGTTACAAACAAAACTAATAAAACTAATTAATATAAAAGATATGTGCAAACCTCAGAGGACCCGTACAGGTACCCTGGGGAACTCCCGGCTCTTTTTCTGATTGGGTGAAAAACATTTCATTTACGACTCTGCCCAAAACGCAGCTGACTCATTGCAGGGAGTCATTACATTTTTACATTACATGTCATTTAGCTGACGCTTTTATCCAAAGCGACGTACAATAAGTGCATTCAACCATAGGGTACAAACTCAGGAGAACAAGAAACAAGAAAGTGCAATTTCCTCAAATAAGCGAATTTACAATTTGCTATAGATGAGTGACGTCACAAGTACAGTTTAAGTGCTACAATTTGTTAGTCTTTAGTCGAGGTAGAGTCTGAAGAGGTGTGTCTTTAGTTTGCGGCGGAAGATGTGAAGGCTCTCTGCGGTCCTGATGTCTTCAGAGAGCGCGTTCCACCATTTCGGCGCAAGGACAGCGAAGAGTCGAGACCTAGTCGAGTGTTTTGCTCTCAGTGGGGGAGGGACGAGTAGTTTTGCAGATGCAGAGCGGAGAGTGCGGGTAGGGATGTAGGGTTTGACCATGTCCTGGATGTAAGCTGGACCCGAGTCAGAAGACTAAAGGCTAAAATGAGGGAGTCCCAGAAACCTTCCTTTTATCTGTCAGTCTAAAACAAAAAGACATAAAATCCATCAAATGAAACAAAATAAAGCATGAAATCCTAAGAATCGAGATGTCTTGACGTGGGTCCTTTATATCATCTTGTTTATCAAGCATACATCATGAATAAGTAACACCCGAGCTCAAAACTAAAAGTGTGAATATTTCCTGAATCTATTATGATAAAAGGTAGTCTTTGTGAAATTGAGATACAATTAATAAGAATACTCCTAAAAAGCTCGGTGTAGATCCTTCAAGCTGGCAAAACACCCCCTCCTACTGGATGTGAACCTGTTGACCCCGTCATGGTACATGGTAAATCATTTTGAGGCTTTCTACCACCTCTGCGAACACGAAGCCCGCGCCCTCCCTCTCCAAACACCCGCTCTCAGGCACTTGCGGTTTCTGTCGACTTTGAAACCCAAGAGCTGAATGGAGCCATTGTTCTTTGTCCCTTTGGACCGCAGGATGGAGGAGGAGGGGTGACGGGAGATCAGAATCACAGACGCTCTCTCTCTCCCTCTCTGATCCTCTCTGTGCAGGTTTGGACTTGAACGAACGACGAGGACGAAAATGAAGAGATTCAGAATCAAAGATCCCCTCTGAGCATCGCTGGTGTTTTCTAACACGCTGCCGGCGTTCTGTGCAGACTAAGTGACATCACGCGTCCAGTGGGGGGCGCTGTAGTAACGGATACTACCTGAACATCTAGAAATCTCTTCAGCGTCGCCACCTGTCACTCATCTCGACGAGACGTTTTGGTTTTCACGCCGTCCTTTCCCCCTTTCAGCGGTTGTCGTAACCGCTGCTTCCTGCTCCGCGGTTAGAAGTCACAACAACCCGCTAACTATTTCACAAATGGCCGCGCCCAGGGGGCACGCCCACGGGAAAAAATGTCAACAAGCCCGACTGGTGCAGGTGAGCGAGCGGAAGAGGCCCGAAAAAAAGTCTGAGCTGTTTATTCAAACACATTCACGAGGAAATGAGTCCAACTGCTCTCAGATTTACAGGCGCACACACACACACACACACACACACACACACACACACACACACACACACACACACAAGGGCCGTCGTTGACCCCTGACCTCTTGCTGCTGCGATCGACCGAGTCGGGAGGAGACGTCTCGACGTTTACATTCCTTCACGTCACCCCCACAGCACCGGACGCACACACGAGGAAAACGGTGTCTTATTTAAGCGCCATTGTCTTTTATAAAGTTCATCTTCCTTCAGCTTCAAGCCGTTGGAATTATTCGTGTTGCCTTCTGAAAATGATGCGTTGAGTCCTTTATTGTGAAAGGGTTAACGAACGGTGAGCAGCTTCCTCTGCCTCGAAAATCACCAAACTGTTGTTTTCTGGAAACACAATAGTTTATTTTGAAAAGGCAGCGCTGTGGTAAATTGAGCATATGGTTAGCGTGGTGGCGTATTGGATGACTTGGGGAACGTGTTGCAACAGCGGACCGAATAAAACCAGAAAGACTTTCAACAGTGAAAGTGTAGCAACGCGTTTAAAAGGCCGTTTGCACAAAGTGAAAAGAAGAAGTTGCTCCAGAAAAGAGTGAAACAGGAAGGAAAGAACGAGACGACGAGGGAGCGGCTCTCGCTTTCCACACAGCTAATTTACTAGTTACTGCTTAATTTAAACTGATCTCTCTCTATCCCAACACGCAAGCACACGCGCGCACACGCACGCACACGCACATGCACACTTTTAGCCTCGCGTGCGAACTTTCAATTCCCGACATCCTGAGCTGAGAAAGGAGAGGAAGGCGGGGAAAAAGACAAGGAGAGAGAGGGAAAACCTTAAGTATGATTATGTGTGTTTGTGTGTGTGTGTGTGTGTGTGCATTTGAGCCACACACAAACACACACACACACAAACACACACACACAATGTAAACGGCTGCCAAAGCGTCTGATTTGCCTTCATGGCTTTTG